GAATGGTTCCAGGGAAGGGGCATGCAGAACTACAGGATGGTACCTCTTCAGAGTTCAGGCAGGTCAACTCGGTTCAGTTCGAGGTGCTTGTCGCTAGTTGTGGACTTGACTATGAAGAAGAGAGTTGGCCATCCCTGCACAAACTGGTCGGGAGTTGGAGCTGGAGCTGTTCCCCTGACGAGGCCATGGCAGGCCGAAACCAGTCAGCATGTATCCTTGGGAGGGTAGGTTATGGTGGCTGACCAAGGCACTTGCGCGAGCTAAAGCAACGCCTTAGTGCCGCATGAGCCATACCACTGCGCCAAATCTTTAGGCCCATAACAAATGGTATCAGAGCAGGACTTGGGGAAAAGCACAGAAGTGTGCCCCCATTGTCGATCAGGGGTCTTGAGAATGAAGTTGGTGCACTAAAGTGGGCAATCAATGCTATTGGAGGAGAGCCTCCATCTCCCCAAGAGGATGCGTCCTTTGAAAGCCGGAGAGCCGTGCGCATCGGATGACCGGAGGGCCGCGTGTACCAAAGTTCTTGCAAGTTCAAGAGGGATGTAAACCGTTGTAAAAGGCGGGTATCAAGTCATCCGGAGGGCCCTTGTTTGCTTGGGGTGTCACGGAGGCGGCATAATGTGGAGTTGCGTCCCGAAGAAGTGGGCGTCCCTTTAGCCTGAAACCCTATTATTAGGCAAGTGCAGCCAGGGGTTATACAAGGAAGCGATGGTGGGCAGGCGAGCATACCACTTGGAAGAGAGAGACTTTGGAATGTTGAATGCAGTGGAGTCAGAGTTGTACTGCGACGAGGGCGTCGCAGTATTCGGGTGGGAGAGTGTCATGAAGTGATCCCTAAAATGCTTGGAGTATAGAAGACACGCATGCTGGTTGGCAAAGAGCAGAGTTTGACTGGGAATGGTTTCAGGGAAGGGGCGTGCAGGACTAAAACAGAATGGTACCTCTTCAAAGTTCAGGCATGTCAACTCGGTTCAGTTCAAGGTGTTTGTCGCTGGTTATGGACTTGACTATGAAGAAAAGAGTTGGCCATCCCTACACAAACTGGTCTGGAGCTGGAGTCATTCCCCTGACGAGGCCAAAACCAGTCAGAATGTATCCTTGGGAGGGCAGGTCGTGGTGGCTAACCAAAGCGCTTGCACGAGCTAAAGCAATGTCATGGTGCCGCACGAGGTATGCCACTGCGCCAAATCTCTAGGCTCGTGACATTAGTCTCAGTTAAGAGTGAGAACGAACGTCAGGAACGGAACAATATGGCTCAAATTCAAGATTTTGTCCCGAATAACATGCACTGGTGATTCTTCTTTAAAGGAGGAAGTGAATGTTAGAAAAGGTACCCTTAATTTTTTTCCTTTTTTTTTTTTTTTTTTTTTTGAGAAATTAGGGTTCCTTGTTTCTATCACTATTTTATCCTCATATTTCATAATCCCAACATTAAGTAGTAAACAAAAGAAGTAAAATGTAAATGCAATCTGATGGATAGTACTGATAGTACTGAATCCAACCTTTTTCTGTTTTTTTTTTAATCAAATTTTATCATTCTGGTAAATTAAATTTGTGCACATCGATTTACTATCTCTTGAGGTCATGTGAGTATTTTTTTCTCGTTTAATGTTAGGTTCATTTGATTTCAATGATATATTATGTATTGAATTGTTTACTAAAATTATAATTACTTTATATGCCTTTTTTTTTTAGCCCCTTTTTGTGTGGGGGCGCAAGTGTGAGATGTCCTATTCTCTTGGGGCTACGAGAGGCTGAATATTGTTTTGGGTTATAAGAGGTCACTTAGGATCATGTTGGTGAGAGGTTAGGTTCTAGCCTTCTGGATCAAGGTAGACTTGTCAATGGAGCGGATCCTGATCTGAATCCGATTCGATTAGTCGGATATGAATTAAACAAAAAATTTGATAACCTGATTATGATCCGAATCTGATAATTCGTTAACCTAATAAATCGGATATGAGTATAGTGTTATATGTAGACCACACTATTGTATAATAGAGCATGGCCCTTGTTTGGGAAAAAAAAAAAAAAAAAATCAGAATCATTAACACTCCATTTGGTTGGAAGGATAGAAAAATGGACGGAGGGAGGAGGAGAAGGAATGGATGAGGCATCCCTAGGGAAGAGAAGGTGTCTCATTCACTTTTTATTTGGTTAGATGGAATGAATTGTAGAAAGAATGGATGGAGTGATACTTTTTTCTTTTTTTTCTTATTTTATTTGGTTGGAGGAATGGAAATAGAGTTTTTATATTTTTTTTTACCAATTGCAACAAAAACCTTTTACAATGCTTTACTTACAGGGTTCCAATTTATCGCCTCATGAATAGCGTATTTTAAAAGGTTCTTTTTGGGTGTCTCATTAATATTGTTTTTAACAACGAGCTCTTACAGGGTTTCTCCCCAAACCCCATAAATATTAATTTTTACAAGGAGCATTAGTCCCCCGCCACGCTTTCGGCTTCTCATTAATAATGGGGTTCTTATTCCTAATATAGTTTCAACTCCCAAAATTAATTTCAATTTTAAGCAGCTTGCCCAAAAAAAAAAGAACCAAGCTTTTATTTTCATTTTACCTCTCTCATTCATGCCATTCCAATCCTCTCTGGTCATCTATGTAGCACATCCATAGTCTGAATTAGTTCTCACAGTGCTTGCCATTCTTCTACTCTCTCTCACTCCTATGGCCCCATTTGTCATCCCTGTCTCCCTCTGGTCGCTTCCTCTCGCTGCATAGTGATTGAAGCCCTATTTTGAACCTTATAACTAGAAATGATGGGGTAGTTTTGGTATTAAAATTATTGTAATTTTTTTTCTATTTTTCACATTATATTTAATAGCATGCAGGCCGAAGTTATAATTAGGGGGTAATTTGCAACAATTAATAAATTGAAGGTGTTTATTAATCCAAAAAAATAGAAGGGCTATTGTGCAACTTTTTTAAACTAAAGATGGGTTTTAGTGCAATTAGGCCTAATATTAAAGACATTGATGATAAGTCTCCTAATTTTATGGAATATTAAAAACATAGGATTTCCTTTTTTAATAGATATATATATATATATACATACACACACACAATTCACACTGATGTTGATGATATCATTATGACTTAGTTGTATATGTCGAATATCAGACTCCCTATAATTTTTTTTTTCTTTAGAGATTCGAACCTTCATCATCTACTTTGGGAGGTAGTAGAGATACCACTGGGCCACAAAGCTCTTGGTATCGAACTCCCTATCATTACTCTACATTTAAATATTGGTTTTCATGATTCTAAGTTTTATGTAATTGAAGTAAAATTATGTCCACCAAAATTCAATTGAAAATGCCTATTTCATTCTTACTATAAGTCATGGTTCTGAATATGACATCAAGTCCAAATCAAAACCCACAAAATGCACCTTATAATTAGGGGTGTGCAAAAAGAATCGTCAACCTGAAAAATCAAACCGAACCGGACCAAATCAAGCGGTCTGGGTTGGTTCCATAGTGGTTCGGTCCGATTACGATTTTAAAATAATGAAACCGTGAATTTTTGGTTCAATCCCAGATTAGGATCCTACGGGACCAGACCGGCCCAGACCGAACCGTTATAATGTGTGTGTGTGTGTGTGTGTGTGTGTGTATATATAGTTATGCCTATATATTACTATTAACTTTGCAAGGAATTTCGGCACAACGATCAAACGTGAGCCAACTTTCATCACTATCTGATATTTTCTTATTTGTTTTTGCTTCTCCCAATGTTTTAATTTTTCAGTGCGTGCCAACATTCCTCCTGTATCTATCTCATTTTTTTTCTTTACTCACGTCACCTCATTCACTTCTGAATTTTCATCGTCACGGGATCCAATTATTGATCAATCTCTCTCACGTAACCTTCGAAGTTCGGTCATCGCCGTCGATCTTTTATCGCTGCCGTCGGTGACATCCTTTCTCACACTCTCTCCCCTTCTCTCTCACTTTCAGTTCGCAGATATCTGAGTCTCACGACGTGTTTGCGCCTCAAGCAAAACCAACAACGACAACGAATCAAGTTTTTTAGTTTTCAACCACGGATTTGTCATCCTTTTCAGTTATAACAAGATTCAACCTCATTTTAATTTCTAGGGTTTAACTTTTGGATCTATTTCACCAACTTTCTCCTTTCTTTTTCTCTTGCTATTTTAGTCTTAGATTCGGGAATATGAATGTTTTTATTGTTATTTTTATAGTAAGTACAATTCAAGAGAAATAAAATTCAACTAGAATCGTGAAACCGAACCGAACTTTTTTTCACGGTTTGGGCTAATTTGGTTTCATGGCTCAAATGGTCTGGTTCGGTTTCAGATTTTTTGGAACCGTAGGGAGCGATTAAGTTCCAAAAATCCTTAAAACCGGACCAAACTGGACCGTGTGCACCCCTACTTATAATCACAAAAATTGATTTATATATAAATGACATACAACATAGCTTAACAATTTAATTTCATCAAAAATGCATTTGGGTCACACATTGTGTGTGTAGCACTGTTCAAAGAAATATGGTTACAAATTCTAAACATAGTCCATTAATTTTTTTTATTCTTTTTTTTTTTCAAGCTAAAACTATGGTTTGCTTAAAGTCACATGCATATAATTCCAAACGAAGCTACAAACCACTTGTTTATCTGTACCATAAATCCCTCGCGTTGCCTTTAAAACGAATACGAGGTCAATTCCTTTTTTTAAGGTATGAGTAACGCCCTACAATTCTTGATTCATCTTTTTTACTTTTCTCTTTCATTTGATGCATGTTTTTCTATACATTCCAGATCCTATGGTAACCATTCTATCTCGTCTTTCATCAGTTGAGATACCTTCTCAAAATGAAGAGCAAAATAATCCGCTAATATTTCATGATTCGGTTTCATTATAGAAGAAAAATATTCTAAATTGGACTAAAACACGTGATTCTGTGTTCTTTACATATCAATCCATTTTATAAGGGAGAAAAACAATTTTTAAGAAATGGTGAGTAAAAACAACGATGATAATAGATCAGAAGATGTGATAATTGAGATTTTGTCGAGGCTGCCGGTGAAATCACTTATGCGATTGAAGTGTGTTTGCAAATATTGGTCCACTCTGATTAGAAACTCTAGTTTCATTTCCAGGCACTTCCACCACCATAGCAACATTGCTCATCTTTGTGTTCAACATTACGATTATAGCACCGAAAAATATACTTTTGCCTTGTTCCCAAATGAAACGGTTACTAACTCATCGGTTGAATATCACAATCTTGGTGATTTTCAAATGCCCACTCAACCAGGTATTCTTGGTATCTTCCATGGCATAATCGGTCTTCACGATACGAATCGCATAGCTCTGTGGAACCCTGCTATTAAAGAATTTAAGGTCCTCCATGTACCAGAACCTGACGTTCCAGAATATTCTTACATCTTTCATCATTTTTCAGGATTTGGATTGGATCCCATCACCAACAACTACAAGGTTGTACGAATTTGGGAATATGGGGAGCATAGTGAAGAACTAGAGTTTGTTAGGATTGCTGCCGTATATAACCTATATGCTGATTCTTGGAGACTTTTTGAAGTTGATTTGGGTCCGCTAAATCGAGTGCATCAATCTTTATCTAACACATATATGAATGGATTTTATTATTGGATGACCAGTTACGATGACATATTAATCCTTGCTTTTGACATGGATAAAGAGATTATGGGACATATACCAGGGCCTCCACTTCCCAATTATAATTATGGGGAAATAGTCTTGCACAATAATTCTATTGCTTTGTTACATTGGGATCGTGAAGATGATGAGAAATTCTTTGACATATGGGTGATGGAAGAGGAGAGATTTTGGACCAAAGAATTAACCATTGGACCTCTTCTAGGTATTCGTACCCCGCTTGGTTTTTGGAAGAATGGTGAGGTATTCCTTGAAACTGACAACTCAGAGTTGGTTTTATACAATTGTAATACCCATGAAATGAAGGATTTTCAAATTCATGGAAACAAGGATGCTTTTCAGAATAGTATTTGGACTTTTATCTACAGGAGAGCTTAGTTTCAGTTCAGAGCGAAAACGAATGTCAGGAAGGGAACAATGTGTTCAATATGGCACGAATTCAAGATTTTGTCCCAGCTTCTTTGTACTAATGTGTTAAATGTGTATTGAATCCATTCTTTTTCTTTTTATCAGATTTTATCATTCTGTATTATGCACATGGATTTACCATCTCTTCCAAATATGTGAGTTTTCCTTTTCGTTTAATGTTAGGTTCCTTTGATTTCAATGGTATATTTATGTCTTGAATTGTTTTTTTTTATGTCTTGAATTGTTGATTAAAATTATAATTACACCTGTTTATAGTTTATGCTTTTTTTTCTTTTTTCTCATCACACTTATTGTGTGAGAGATGAATGTCTATTCTCTCGGGCTTTGAGAGGCTGAATACCATTTTTGGGTTATAAGAGGTAGTTTAAGATCTTCTTGTTGAGAGGTATGTCAAGGTTCTTATTTGGTGGGCAAATGAAAGGCTGTTTTGTCCGGCACATCTTATGCATCTCTTTTTTGGACGAAAAAGTGGTTCAACAATAAATTCTTAAGTATTAATTATTATTTTGAGAAACACGAGCACATCTACAATATCCCTGGTATCATACCCTTGGGGCTTCTTAGTCGTTGGATCATATATCAGGGCCACCACCACATTTAAAAGTTGGAACCTCTGGGAGTACGGTACCAACAAGATATTGTAAACTTTTACAAGTGGTGTTTTAAATAATATTAAATATTAAGTTTTTAATAGAGTAATGATATAATATCGATCAATGTTTTGAACGACTCCAATTATATAGAATTCAACAAGGATTTTTTTTGGTATTAGACTTGTAGTCTAGACCAAATGGGTAATAATCCAACTGGTACAAGCTTTCCTTCTCAAAGGGGAGGTCGGCTGTTGTAGCCTAACGGTATGACTTTCTCAGACTCCATAATAAAAAGTAGAGAATTCAAGCCCTGAATTTTTTGTCAATGTAAATAATAATAATTATAATAAGAGAGAATCATGTTTTAGGAAATGCAACCGATTTTAATGAAAAAAAAATGTCATTAATAGCCTCATTGTCAATCTCTTTTCTGGTATTTTTTTTTAATCCTAATGCACTTTTATTATGCATAAGAGGAAGACATCACATTAATGTACTTCTCATTATTTTATTTAAGAGAATGATAGAAACCGAATAATAGTCCCGGAATGAGCATCGAAAAGTGACCTATATTTTTATCCTCATGCACTTTTATTATGCATAAGAGGAAGACATCACACTAACGTACTTCTCATTATTTGATTTAAGAGAATGATAGAAACCGAATAATAGTCCCAGAATGAGCACCGAAAAGTGACATATATTCACCATGTCATTTATGCTAGCACCTTCCAAGAAAATAATTGTTTAATAAATATAAAAACAGAGGTCAAGGTTCAAGTCTCAATAGAAATAAGTGCGTGTGAGGAACCAACTAGGAAAAAAAATAAATATAAAGACAAATATACTCTCTCAAAATTTATTCATATATCTCCCAAATGCTTTTCTCTCTATAAGATTTAGATCTGAAATTTTCTCAACTCTTTTTGTCTTTGAAGATTTACCCCTCTGAAATTCTATTATGTTTCTCTCTTCAAGATTTGAGTCTGAATTTCCGTCTCTTTCCAATCTTTTTGTTCTCCCCACTACCACCACTATTCCTTTGTTTCCCATCTCATATCTCTCCCTCAAAAAATGTTCAAATTTGTCCATCTCCATTACTTTTACCAGGGCAATCTGTGGTATCGCTTGCACATAAACCCTAATCTCCAAAATTATTAGTGGGTCTATCAATTACTCAATGTCTGGTGATTGGTGACTTATTAACTTAATAAGAAGAAAAAAAGATAATAGAAAAAAGTAAGTAATTGAAAGGTTTTGAGGTATAATGTTAATTTATGAATTGAGATGGCGGAGGCCATGGAAGATGGAGAAGACGGAGAGAATTTTGAAAAGAGATTGGATAAATTTTAGAGAGAGAAACAATGAAGGGTTTGGAATAAAGTCAGACAATGACAAAACTAGACACAGATGGGTCGCAAATAGGGAGAGAAATGCAAATAAGAAAATCTGATGGGCCGAAAATAACTTGTAATTCTAGTCTTAGCAGGTCTCTCGGGAACAAGTTGATCGTCCAAGAAAGAAGAATGTATACTTATACTATAATTGTAACGTGACTGAACAAAAATATTAACCAAGTTCTTTTTTGGCTTTCGAACTTGGAACACAATAAAGTCGAGGTAAATCGGTTAGAGATATTTATTTACTACATCATTTGCTACTCGACGTTTTAGATTGTCATGGAAAAAATTTGTTTATGGTAGGCAAATCCAACCCATCACTGGAATGATATTAATGTTCATAGTGTTGTTACTCATCCCACTTTGTTTGGAGTGAATTAATCGAGAACTCTCTTTTTATCTTATTTCCAAAAACATAGCAAATGGAAACCACTACTAGACATCAAAATATTTACGACATTGCATCCTTCCTTCAATAGCTATTATTCACAGAAATTGCTTTGGAGGTTAGTGAAGAAGTAGAGATATATATCTATTGTGAGAAACGTCAAGAGAAGAGATAATAACCCTAACCTGAAAAAAAAAAGTCAATTTTGTCCATCACATGGGCTGCCATGTCAGCCCGCCACTCTTGTTAAAATCACAAATATAGATTCGTGAATATGGCATTTGTCTCAAAATGCATTTGGATCCCACATGAATGCATGAGCTATAAAGCCCTGCGTGGACTTGCTCAACCATATGTGTAGCACTGATCACAAATTCTAAACATAGTCGAAAATTTTTCATTCTTTTGGCTAAAAATATCATTTGCTTTTAAAATCAGACGCACATAATTCTGAACGAAGCTACAAACCCCTGGTTTATCTATATCATAAATCCCCCACGTTTCCTTCAAAGCGAATACGTGGACAATTCTTTTTTTTTTTTAGGTCTAAGTAACGCCCTGCAATTCTTGATTCATCGTTTTTACTTTCCTCTTTAATTTGATGGATGTTGTTCTTAGGCATGTGTTATCTATACATTCCAGATCGTACCGTAATCCTTTCTATCTCGTCTTTCATCAGTTGAGAGATTTTGTCAGAATGAAGAGCAAAACAATCAGCTAAAGTTTTCATGATTTGGTTTCATTGTAGGGGAAAAATATTCTCAATTGGACTAAAACAGGTGATTTTCTTTACATAACACTCCATTTTGTAAGGGAGGAAAAGGTTTTTAAAGCAATGGTGAGTAAAAATAACGATGATTATATGTTAAACGATGTGATAACTGATATTTTGTTGAGGCTGCCGGTGAAATCACTTGTCGGATTGAAGTGTGTTTGCAAATATTGGTCCACTCTGATTAGAAACTCTAGTTTCATTTCCAAGCACTTCCACCACCATAGCAACATTGGTCATCTCGGTGTTCAACATTATGATTATAGCACCGAAAAATATAATTTTGCCTTGTTCCGAAATGAAACGGTTACTAACTCCTCGGTTGAATATCACAATCTTGGTGATTTTCAAATGCCCACTCAACCAGGTATTCTTGGAACATTCCATGGCATAATCAGTCTTTATGATAGGAATCGCATAGCTTCGTGGAACCCTGCTATTAGAGAATTTAAGGTCCTCCGTATACCAGAACCTGAAGTTCCAGATTTTTCTTACATCTTCTCACATTTTTCAGGATTTGGATTGGATCCCAAAACCAACAACAACAAGGTTGTACGAATTTGGGAATACGGGGAGCAAAACGATGGCGTGGAGTTTGATAGGGTTGCTGCAGTATACAACCTATATGCTGATTCTTGGAGACTTTTCGAAGTTAATCTGCCCCCTATTAATGAAGTGCATGATTCTTTGTCTAACACATATATGAATGGATTTTATTATTCGATGACCTATTACCATGACATATTGATCCTTGCCTTCGACATGGATAAAGAGATTTTGGGACATATACCAGGACCTCCACTTCCCAAATATAATTAAGGTGGGGATATAGTCTTGCACAATAATTCTATCGCTTTGCTACATTGGGATCTTCAAGACGTTGAGAAATGCTTTGACATTTGGGTGATGAAAGAGGAGGGGTTTTGGACCAAAGAATTAACTACTGGACCTCTTCAAGGTATTCGTAGCCCCCTTGGTTTTTGGAAGAATGGTGAGGTTTTCCTAAAAAAAGTGACACCTCGGAGTTGGTTTTATACAATTGTAATACACAAGAAATGAAGGCTTTTCAAATTCATGGAAATAAGGATACTCTTCTTACTAGTATTTGGACCTTTATATACAAGGAGAGTTTAGTTTCAGTGAAGAGCAAAAACGAATGTCAGGAAGGGAAAAATATGTTCAATAGGGCAAGAATTCAAGATTTTGTCCCGGATGGTTTATACTATTGATACTATTTTTGAAGTAGTTAGATAGCAGAAAGGAGGAAGTAACTGTTATCCACTTCGGATATGGCCCATTGGTTGGCTTGGCTTGCTGAACTTTGATGCTTTGCAAGTCTAAGGTTCGGGTTTCGAATCCCTGCTGTATATTCTTTGATACTAGCCTCCAATGCTCCTGCAGGGACTTATCCAGTCCGAGTGGAGAGGAGCCCTTTCAGGTCCTTGGGAATTACTCGAATTGTTGAGAGGCCCTCAGATTTGTGCCTTTCCCAATACCCTAAGCTAAAAAATAAAAAGAGGAGGAAGTGACTGTTAGTAAAAGGTGTTTTAGTGTTCCTGTATTTTGTCCTATGTTTCATACTCCCAACAATGATTAGTAAAGAAAAGAAGTAAAAGGTAAAATACAAACTGATGGATGGTACTAAATCCATCCTTTTTCTTTGTATCAAATTTTATCATTCTGCTAAATTCTATTTTAGTTCGTTGATTTACCATCGCTTGAGGATATGTGAGTTTTACTTTTCGTTTAATTAGGTTCCTTTGATTTCAATGGCATATTTATGTCTTAAATTGTTTACTAAATTTATAATTACAGCTTTATAGTTTGTGCCATTTTTAATTTCAGCCCTCTTTTTGTTTGTGTAAGTGAAATCCTATAGTCTCGGGCTATGAGAGGCTGAATATCATTTTTTATTGTTAGAGGTCCTTTAGGATCTTATTAGTGAGAGGTAGGTTCTACATCAAGGTCTTAATTTGGTGGGGCATACCAAAGACATGGTATGTCCTACTCATCCTTTATCCAGTCTTTTTTCGGACGGTTACTTGGATCAACAATTAACTTTTGACCATTAATTGTTGTCACTCGCATAAGATTTGAGACGGAAAATAATATTTCAAACAATATTAAATATTAGATTTGAATAGAGTAATGATATAGAATGATCGTTTTTTTAAACTACTTTAATAAATAGAATTCAACAAGTTTTCTTTCTATTAATAAGAGTTATAGTCTAGCAATACTTCCACACCTTTCAATATAAAAAGTGGAATGGTCAAATCGTGTGAGTTTTAAGAAATTATTAAATGATGCTGATCCATTTGATATTTGGTGGACTAATTCAATAAAAACCATCCGATTATAAAACTTTGTAATTTATTAATATACTCTTGCAGGTTCATTTTCTCAATCCATTCGCTTTTGTTTAATTTCATTGGCATCCCTAAAGTTTGAATAAATCTCACGTGAAGACACTTTTCGAAAATTATTATCATTTATAGTACATTACAAAGTTTGGGCCATTTTTTACTCGCACCCCAAACGTCACTTTTCATTTATGTTAGAACACTTTTGTATGTAAAATGACATTATTACTTTTTTTAACTTTGTGATAACTTACTAAAGGGTTTCTTTTATATATAAAATGATATTTCTACCCCCTCTCTCTTTCTTCTCTCACTATATATATATATATATATATATATATCTTATTTAGAAATGCTACAAATTTAAGCCTAAAATTATTTATTTACATAAATAATAATGTTAAGATAAAATAAATTTTCAATTGAATATTAAATATATTCAAATTTCAAAACTAAATACATTATAGATAAATTTGTATTTAAATATATAAGTTAAGAAACTTTATATTTATATTATTCAATCTCATGTTTTTAAATTTAATTATAAATTTAATGTCAAAATTTATTTATTTATATTAAATATATTATATATAAATTTTTATTTAAATATATATGTTAAGAAACTTTATACTAAACATGCTAATAAACAAGTATATGTGTGTGTACTTGATAAGGGCAAATTTATCCTTTAAGTTTGTTGATATTTTGAATTAAATGGATTTTAAAAATAGGAATAAAATTGTCATTTTGTACATTTTTAAATGTGATAGTAACTTTTAAAAAAGTATTTTAATGTAAAATTTGTACAAATTAGTGTCAATGAAATTAACCCTAAATAAAAATCTACTCAACTCATACTCATATAGCACAAGAGGGGAGAAAGGAGAAATTATTGCACCCAAGAAGAAAACTGATACATTTATTTGTGTATATAGACCAGTGATTGGCCCATTAGAGCCGGGACCATCCATTCCATCCACCACCAACCAAACGCCACATGTTTACCATTAACCTCTTCCACCTGTTTAAATTAATCAGAAAACACAAGAGAGAAACAAACGAATTAGTAGTCTAATGGTATTAGGGGTTCAAATTTCAGAAGAGACAAGTATGTGTGAGTACCAATTAAAAAAATTAAAAAAAAACACACACACACAAGAATGCACAGATTTTACTTGATTCACACAAAATCAAGGCTACGTCCAAGAAAACAGCTGCAGATACAGAGAGTTTAGAATTATTTGGTAGAGTTGTATTTTCACTATAATGATAAAAAACAGAGTTGTATTTTCACTATAATGATAAAAAACAGGTGTACAGTATCTATCAAAAAAACCTTGTGTTTGTACTTTCGTTGTTATTTTACTAAATATACAGAGAGAGCGGGAAGGAGCGAGAGCTCTAAAATTTTTTAGAACAGGAGCGCATGTATATTAGATTTAAATAAAATTATATGAGGTCATGACATATATATTTTTATTTATTTAAATCCTTAGGCAAATATATTTATATGAGGTTATGACATATCCATATGAGGTTATATTTTATTTGTAATATTCTCTCATTGGAAAGTTTTTTTAATAATATATTTTCAAACATTTATAATTAATATATATATATATATATATATATGGTAGTATAGTAAAGTCATATATACATCAATAGTATAGACATAAATAGTATAGACGAATGTAACATATGCTCCTCTCCCCTGCAAAACTCATAATTTAAATCCCATATATAATTTGAGATCCCGCAGCATAATATATTGTGATCCCATTAACAAATGCACCATATAAATTGGTGTAACTAAAAAAGTACAAAACTAATAAAAAGAAATAATAGGTTATAGATTCTTAACTGCCACCATAACCAAACTGAGAGGACTTAGACACAATAGTTGGAGCCCTTGAAAAGTACAAGGAATAAATCCTCCTCCGCCAAATATATAATTAGAAAGGTAAACTTAAATTATGAATATACAACTAATAAAAGAACAAGTAACAGTAATAGTGACCATTAGTAATCCAATTGACAAATTTCCATGGCTGAACAACATAAAAACAAAAACAAAACTAGCAGAACTTCAAACCGAAATACCTGCTGAATATACCATTTCCCAAGGAAATATTTCCCAAATAAATAAATTGCTGAATGAAGATCACACGGGGACAAAATTTCTATGTCAAAATATATCTATTCAAATATCAGGTATTAATCCTCAGTTCAACAAGGGATTAATGGAAAATGTAAGAACCAAATATTAACACTCAGTTCATAAAAGAGTCAAAAGAGCACCATCTAGAATTATTTTCAAATTTCAAAAAAACCACCGAAAAGAAGAAACCGACGCTATAAGAATGGAAGAAAGTCTTAAACAAGCTACTTGAATTCACACTTGTCCAAAAATTATTGCTCCCCGCCACCCAGTGAGCTGAATAGCCCACTTATGGCTTGAGAGCCAATGCCAGCCCAAACTTGGCACTCTTCTCCAAAGCCTTGGTGTCAAATTCCCCAGAAACTGTGATAAGTGACTTTGGGCGCCACTCGTGCTGGATGAGGGCATTCACCTTGCCAATGTCGTTGGCGCGTGCTTTCACCGTGGTCAATGCATCCAATGAATGCTGGGCACCAAGAGTGATGGTGTTCTCATTGGTTGAGAACCTGTGACTCAATTCTGCACCGACAGCTGAGTTGGTCAAAGGGCTCAACGTATGGTAGTAAGACGCATTTAGAGTTTCACCCTTGTTGTTCCTGAATGACAAACAGATGTTCGTCACATTATGCACCAAAAGGAAATGTATTTGGCCCATGCAAGAACTAAACGGGCCATCTACAACCAAGAAATAGAGCTAAAAAAACTAACATTTATATACTGAAATGAGAATAAGATACTAGATCTCACCACAAATTTACCAAATACTGCTAGCAAAAGAAAATACTCACAAGGTCATTGAAGCAATAAGGTCGGCCTTGGAGAAGCTTAATCCTGCATTGCATTTAGTGAAATTCCCTGTTTTGGTGTCGAAGGAGACATCAGTACCAAGTGAGACAACATTAGTCCCCAGCACACCTGAGAAGTTGACAATGGGGTTCGCTGTCAACCCAATGCTTGTGCTTATCCCAGCATAGTCATGCAGATACTGAAGTTCTGCCTGTCACAACACAAGCACTATCGTGATCAGAAGTCATTGTGCAAACATAACTTCTGTGTGATATTAAATTTGCTGGTGCAAAGCAACTGGCAGACACCACTAGTGTAACCAAATTGCCACACGCTCCAACTCATTCCACAAAATAAAATGAGAAAACCAACTCAAGAAACAAGAATGTAAGAATTCATGACAAAGAAAACAAATAATGGATTTATTACCTTGCCAGATCTTTGATCAGGAGCTTTGAAGCTGAAGATCGTCTTCACTCCAGGTGCAGGTTCATCAACCGTAATAGTTGTAAAAAGCTGGTATATATGCAGAATTTCAGTTAGATGATAAAAGCAAACTAACAATTCAATTTGGTTGCGGAAAAACTACCTAACGCATGAAATGAAAAACAGTCAAGTGAGAATCCTAATCAATCTCTCATCCAACAAGACGAGCAGTCATGAGCATGTTATCCACAGTGAGAACAGTAAAAGAAAAGGTCAAAAGGGTATTAGGTAAAATAATGTTTACTTGCTGCTTCATTTCCAGAAAGAAAATTCACATGGTTAACAATTCATTCAATTATTACTATATATGTCTCGAACAAACAATAAGATTATCAACAGATTTCATGTCATCACAACATAAAACTGAAAATTATTGATGCCATTTAGGCTACAGCAATCACATATGAAACACATTTATAAAGTCCACAACAAACCTGACTACAGGTGTTCACTTACCACCTAAGCGACCAAGATGTGGTAATTATGTTCCAATTCACTTACTCAGATGATGGAGACTGTCTAGACAGTCATTCAGGGTCTGTGTCAAATTTCATGAAACATAGTACAACTTTGCAATGGCAATATAAATAGACAGCTGAAGAGTCCCAAGGTTCCAAAAATATAACAAGATACACCTTAAAATTCATAGACAACATACCCAAATTCGAATCCCCTCCATATGTGAGCTAAATTTGGAGATATACAAATAAATTTGGTTTCACAAATCAAAAATGTCCTGTTAATATGTTGTGTAAGGAACGAATGACAAAAATGTGAGAATAAAAACGTAAAAAATTTTGATTGAAAAATTATTACTGAAGAGGAATATGGTGATGGAGCTTACATTGGAGTTTGTGTCCACTTTGACATCAGTTGTGATATTGTTCTTCTTCAACTGAGTATTAACCTCAGCAACAAACCCCTCGCCTTTCTTTGTCCCTGACGAAGTGATAGCCTAAAATGAAGAGGGAAAAATCAACACCATTAAAATATTGTCACCTATGGCGTACACTGCTAAAACAATATGGATGAAACATACTGCAGATCACCTAAGTGAGAAACATTATCAACTATTGTGTGAAATTATAACTTATATAAGCCAAAATCAATCCCACAAAAATGTAATCGAAACACCAGAAAGCACTGAACCTGCAGATCACCTAAGTGAGAAACAGTATCAACTATTCTGTGAAATTTTAACTTATATATGCCAAAATCAATCCCACAAAAATGTAATCGAAACACCAGAAAGCCTTTCAGTGCAGTATCCATGAACTACAACCTGGATGAAGAAACCCAACTCAATATAGAAGATCTCCAATTTCTATTTTCTTCTTCTAGGTCCAAATTGCTGGATAAGGAAATCCAATATCTAACTGTCACACTGTTTGGCACATTTAACATGAGCCCTGCTACCCAATCACTATTTCCTGTAGAATAGAGGCTTCCTTTGCATGCTTGGTTATACACTATGCAATTTAACAATCAACAAATAGAACCCTAACAGCAGCCAAAATAATATATGAGGGGAAATAAAAGCATTATTACTTAAATTGCCCAAAAAGCCCATAGTCATACATCCTAGAATGCCAGCAAACTAGAAAGCATACCAGCAGCCAATTTTTAAAATGGATAAACAAAGATGTGCTAGAAAAGTTCAAAAAAAGTAAAACCACAACAAATACCAAACACATGTTTTAAGTCCATAATGCATTAACCACATAGACCAAAAGTTAGAAAGTGGAACAAAGATCAGAGAGGGTATACAATATGATAATACAAATGCCCACACACACATATGTACAAGGCCATAATAATCATCTTATGGCCTACCAAAGTTGTAAGTGGAACAAAGATCAGAGAGGGCATAACAATATGATAATAAAAATATTCACAGGCATATATATATATATATATATATATATAAGGGTTATAATTATCATCTTATGCATTACAAGATAGACCAGAATTGAAAGTGGAACAATGATCAGAAACAATATTATAATACAAACACACACACACATATATAAGGCCATAAAAAACATATGTATCAAATCTATTGAACTGGTTTCTTTTACTTTTTGAACAAAACACATTGAGTCAGACATAAAAATGCTCTACAAATAACACCATACACACATAACAATAAATAGAGAGAGAACTCTACCCTCACCAAGCAAAAAAGCAAATATACAGATCTACGAAGCAACGAAAAATAAATAAATAGAAAAAATAGAAAACACTTACAACACCAGTAGAAGAGTAAGTAGTGACACTGAACTTCTGGTCGCTCTGGTAGTCCTTGTAGAGAAGATCTGCGACAAGGAACAAACAAACAATTCATCGAAAATATTCCAATCAACTAAGACAAATGGAAGAGACGAAACATAGTTTTACACAATTGAAACACGCAATATAAATATAAATCAGTACTTCGCAGATTGAATAGCAGAAAACACACACATATGCGCACATTTTGTGCGTGTATACAAGTATATGGTTCTATATATACACATGCATATATAGAGAGAGAGAAAGTTAGAGATAGAGGACCTCGGGTTTTTTTGCCGATATCAGTGTAAAGACCAGGACCTTTGCCCATTGTGTTGTGCGAAGACGAAGATCAGAAAACAAGAATTGAAGAAAGAGAAGAAGAGAGAAACCTCTGTTTGCTTTGAGCAGAGATTGTGACCGCTTGAGGGTTTAATATATAGGCAAAAGCCCCTAATTGTTCGACACGTCTCGAACAGTGTTCTGGTGGGAGAATCTAGACCGTTCGATCGGGTTCGAGTGGGCTTTTGTGCTGTTTGGGCCGTCGATCATGACAGGGAGGTACGTAATATTGTCTGATTTGAGGGGTGTTTTGGGGAATATGACAGAAATCTTACGGTTGTTAAACAAGATTGAACTTTTATTTCTTTTCCGAAAAGAAATGGGGATTTATTTCTGCTCAAGAAAACTTTTTTTTTCCTATTTTTAGTTTTTCTTTTTGAATAAATTACACTGATCTCCCTTAAAATTTAGACAAACCTCACTTAAGTAAAGCATTTAAGATTTATTATTTTCACCTCTCTTGAGATTTAAGTGTATCCTCAACAACCCCCTTTCTATGAAAACTTGTAAAAAAAATTATAAAATAACCAAAATACCCTTACACTCATTTTTTGTTAATTTACATGATTTTTTTAATGAGAAGGTAACATGGCGGAGAGGAGGGAGAAAGAAATAAGAGATATGAGATAGAATAATTAATTTTTTTAGATTTTATAATATTTTGCATTATAAAAATATATTATATATAAGGGTATAATTGATTTTTTTTAAGTCTAAAGGGAGGTCAGAGTAATAAACCTCAAACGCCCCACTCATATGAGATTAAGTGTAATTTATTCTTTCTTTTTTCTATTTTTTTCCTCTTTTCTTTTTTTTTTTCGCCCTTTTTGGGATAGCGAGCATTGGCTGTGGTTAATTCAAACTGGGTCGGAAGGATTTAATTATTATTTCAATAGAGTCACAAGTGGCATAAACTAATTAGATAGTTAAGACCATTATTACGTGGCCTTATAGTTCAATTAAAACTGATGTTTCAATTTATTTATGATATATTATTACATTTTTGTGACTTTTACTTTAAGTGTTTGAGTTGGTCTCCACAATCAAGTATTTTGTTAAGAATTATCTAATTAATTTTTATTTTGTGTTAAGATGGGAGAGATTTTTTTCTTTTTTTCTTTGTTTTTTTTTTTTTTTTTTTTTTTTTGAAAGTACACACTAAGTGGGTGACATATTTTTAATGGTTGGCTAACTTTATCACCAAAATTTATAATTAATGGTATTAAGAATTTAAGAGTTATAAATAGGTAGGTACATAATTGTGCCTTGCTGATAATATGAATCAATATAACCTATCTATAATTACTTTTTAGGTAAGTCATGTACTATGTCCTTGCTACAGAAAGAAACTTCAAAGTATCTGAATCACAAACTTTTCAGATATTGGAATAAAAGTAGTGAATCAGGTTACTCTCCATCTTTGTTAAAAGGGATGTGGCAATGGTCTAAGCAAACCATAAATGACATAAAAAAGGCTTAAACAAAGTTGAAATTTCATAATGGAAGCATAGAAGTGAGATTCAAGTGTCCTCAATCAAGATACCTATTATGTCACTCGAACTTTTTAATGTATAAAGATTAAATCTTTGAAAGAAAAAGAAAGTTTTGAATTAAACTTATTCGAGTAGTTGTATTGACTCCACCAAATTTAAAAAATAAAAAATAAAAATGGAGTTATTATACTTTTTTCAATTTTTAGCACAATATGATGGTCTCGGTGTGATTGATACTCTGCATCTGCAAAATTGTTGTTATGGTAAACATTGGTCCAGATACAAACTTCATTTCAGCTATATATTTGTGGCATTTCACTCCCAATCAAATCAGCCAGTGGTAAAGAAATTTATCAAGAACTTCACAATAAGTGAAATTCCATTGTTTAAATTTAAGAACTTTTGGCTCTCTGGAATTCCTGCTAGCTTATCTAAAGCCCATGCCTGCCCAAATGAGTCAGCATATTTATATGAATATTAGGGTTGCTTATGAGCTTCCTCTCGGCAATGCAAATTTTCAGTTCCATTAGGGATGCTACTTACATGGTGAAGATAAATGCGTGTGTATTTATGTACGAGTAGACTTGAAAACAGGTTCAGATCAAGAAATTAAATACATAGGTTTGAACACGTTAAAAAAAAAAAATTCAACTTTTGATAATAATTGAAAGTCGATTGTCTCACAAGTGTGATGGATCCCACCACTCTTGTGAGACCATTGACTTGTCATTAGTATTTTTTTATTTTTTTTGACTAATTTTTCCATAAAGCAATGATGGGTGTGGTTAATACTACTTTGTTTATTTCATTTTGAGATAAGGTCACCATAAAAACAGGATAGGTAGTAATTGAAATTTGTGGCATTACTATAGAAGGACTTCATGTTTAGCACTTTGTTACCCTTCCTTACTATATTTAACATTGTTTTGCTTTTTATTAGAAATAATTGTAGATCATAGACTTTGTTACCCTAACAAATAGTGTTTGTTTGTAACCCATAAAACAAGTGGCTCACCATATTCCCCGCGCAAAACACCTTGTTTTAGACTTCTTCAAGAATTATTTAAACACATTTCCATGCCCAAAAAAAATCAAGCTTCTTCTTTTCACTTCATTTGATATTTCAGGCGACACAGAACCATGTCGCCTGCTTAAGAATTTTGATCTGTAAAGGTCTAATATATATCGATCCCTAGGGTTTAGTCACCAACAAAAAAGGGTACATACATACATACAAAATGGAGCCTGTCCGGCTTAGTTGGTTTTTCATGGTCTCTTTTGCCATTGCTGCAATGGCGCCAACCTTGATGGCCAACATTGCCGACTTCGATGAAGTGTGGAGGAGAAGAGCCGAGGAAGCGGGGAAGAGGGCAGAGTTTTACTACCACCCTAACCCCGCAGCTGTTGCCAATGAAGTAAACAAGCGTGTTCTCACGTAGGTTTTTTTCATCTCACTACTCTATTAAGTGACGGAGGCAGAAAAAATTTTCAGAGTGGCCACATTATAAGTATCCTATACCATAACATATATTTACCTATAATGTATATCATATAAGTCAATGTTTATTTTTATATATATAGAAAGTGATAGTGATATTTTTAGGATGAAATTAATTTACAGATATAAAATATAAGGATTAAGGAAACAATTTAAGAGAAAAAAAAATAAAAAACATATATAGAATTCTATAAAGAATGAGAAAGTGGGCATATATATTATTATAAAATATAAGAGAGGAAGAAAATTCAGGGAGGGCACGTACCCGTCCTTAAATATCCACGTAGCGTGGACCGGATCCTACCATTAAATATATATATTTATATATATATTTCTTAATTAATTGTTTGTGACAGAAATCCAATTACAATATTTGTGTTTGGTGTATGCATGCAGTGCTCTAAACGAGGAAGGCAACAACACTAGGAAGCTCCTAACAGTGAAATCGCCTACAAGCTATTCTACAAAAATAGTGAAGTCGCCGTCAAGCTATTCGACAAAAACAGTGAAGTATACAGGGCCATGCAAAGCCGTTAACCCGATCGACAAGTGCTTCAGATGCAGACCTGATTGGAATTTGGACAGGAAGAGGCTGGCAGACTGTGCCCTTGGCTTCGGCGGAAGTGCCACCGGCGGCAAGGACGGTGAGTTCTACGTGGTGACCGATCCTTCAGATGACAATGTCGAGAACCCAAAGGCAGGAACACTCAGATATGCTGTCACTCGGAAGAGGCCCTTGTGGATCATATTCGAGAGGAGTATGCAAATTGCATTAAAACAGGAGCTGATATTTGCGAACGACAAGACCATCGATGGGCGAGGGTCCACCATAGAGATAGCTAATGGTGCTGGCTTTATGCTCCAGTTCGTCCACAATATCATCATTCACAACATTCGAATTCGAGACACTTTGTCGACTAAGGGTGGCATGGTTAGGGACTCTGAAGATCATTTGGGCCTTAGGACTATGAGTGATGGAGATGGCATTAGTATTTATGGATCTTCTAATATTTGGATTGATCATGTGTCCATGAGAAAATGCGCCGACGGTCTCATTGATGCCATTCAGAAATCCACCGCCATTACCATTTCGAATTGCCACTTCACTGATCATAATGAAGTAAGAAATTAATCAAATGAATTAACAAAATTACCTCTTATTAATTCAATTATGTATGGTGTAGGTGATGCTGTTCGGTGGAAAAGATGGATTCACAGAGGATAAGTTTATGCAAATCACACTCGCATTCAACCACTTCGGAAAGAGACTGAAACAGAGAATGCCTAGAGTTCGATACGGGTTTGTTCACATTGTGAACAATGACTACACTCACTGGGAAAGTTATGCCTTGGGTGGTAGCAGCAATCCTATCATCATAAGCCAGGGTAACCGATACATCGCCAATCCTAATTTTAAGGTCAACGAGAACCCGTACCTGGTACGTAAAATTTTGCATTAGACTATTTAGTTATTGTTGAGTTGACTAAGATGTGTACGTATCATCGACCGGCTATTGATATATATGTTTTCCTATATATATATGTGTGCAGGTAACACACAGGGACTATGCCTCAGAAGCAGAATGGAAGAATTGGGTATGGAGATCTCAGGGAGATGTTTTTCTACATGGAGCAAAATTTATTGAATCCGGAGACCCGACTCAGGCTCTGAAGTTGTTGCATGATAACGATGACCATGTACAGCCACAGGATGGATCAATGGTTACTGCGCTCACGGAGTTTGCAGGTGCTCGGAGTTGCAAGAAGAATCAGCCCTGTTAAGAAACGACGTTTGTACATGAGATGAGCTCATGCATGCAGTCTAGACTTTTATTGTTACAAAATGTCGATGAAGTGAGGGGCAAAGGAAGAAGCAATTATGTAATATTGATGAAGAGAGGTTAAAAGAGAAGACAGATTAATTTATATGAATGAGAATTAATTTTTATATATTTGGTTCATTGAATAGTTTAATAAATTAATTATTTAGTTTGTGTTGCGCCTGGTAGTTGACCATATGATTTGATGAACAAATTAAAGGCAAAGAGTGTGCTAATTATTTAATGAAATTAATATGGATGGACCAAAGAGAAAAGTGAAAAGCCTGAAATCAGACACAAACATATATATATATATATATAGAGAGAGAGAGAGAGAGAGAGAGTTTTATTATAAATTGATTGCAATATTGATTTTTATTCTATAGATTACCAATGAAATTCATTAATAGAAGGACGACGATAAAAGGTTTTTTCTCAACTATTTGGGATCGGCTACATCAATCCTATGTTTTAATTCTGTTCTATCCAAAGTCCATAGTCTCAACAATAAATTTTTTAAATTCATGAAAAGAATATCTTCAGATTTCAAGTCCCTTCAATTTTATTTCATTTTTCAATTTTGAACTGAAAAAAAAAAAAAAAAAAAAAAAGGGGCAATACCATACAAGCAAATTCGTCTTGTACATAATCTGAATTGGTGGAACCACCACTTGTTGGGTCCTTCTTGGCTTGTATATTGAATCAGTACGTATATCATTTTTTTGTATAAAAAATTTCATCTCAATGCATAATCAAAAGTTCCTCCTTGGCCCCAATAAATGCTTCTCAATTTTTTCATCATCAGATTTTTGGTTTATGTTCATTCATATTAAGATCCACCTACAAATTTCCTAGATTCTTCTACTTTTACAGTTGCTTTCATTTTTTTTTTATAAACTACTAAAAAGAAATAAAATTAGATTTCAAGTTTTCAAAAGTGATCAACTAATTTTTCAAGTTTTCAAAAGTGATCAAATCAAGCAATTGAACACACGAAACACTGACAAGATTGCAATTGTTAGATAGAATCCACACATGCATTTCCAAAGTTTACGGAAAATTGAATTCAAAACCCTAAACGCACTAATCTGTTTAATCAATCCATAATTTTGGACTCTAGTCTCACGCCAACAATTTGTCATGGAAGAAAAAGTACATACGGAGTATATTGTAACTAATAATTTCTCCATTTGATAGATGTTAATTGCTCACGTAAATTATATAGTAGTACAATTTTTTTTGTTGGAACTTGGAAATGCTACTAAACAATATATGTAGTATTCAATTATTCAATTTTTTTTGTATTATTTCTACAAAAAAATATTAGAATGTCCCGATTCCGTTTTTAAAAATAAAATATTATGAGTTTATAATTTAGAGTTCATTTGGACCGAACTGAAATATATATATATATATATATATATATATATATATATATATATATATATATATAATTTTTTTTATATCATATAGGTAGGATTAACTTATTAAAAGTGTATGCAAGTCTTGGTAAGCACCATTTAATTTTCTTTCTTAATCCTACTATTTCAATTTGTGGTTGTAGTTTTTTTTTTTTTTTCAGGGGGGGTTGTTTAAATAAGAACATTGTGTGGTTTTAGATTTTATTTGTATGAGTTTGGGAGGCAGAGGTTCTTGAACTTCGGGCTCAAAATCAAACACTAAATTGTTATTTTACAATTTGATTCAGTTTTATGGTCCGAAAATCATTAGAATCCTATCGGTTTTGATTTAGTCTGAAGATTATTAGAATCCTTTCAGTTTTAATTTAGTGTACCCTAATTCATGTAGTGATATAGACCTAATTCATGTAGTGATATAAGACAGATTTGACATCGTAGTTGAGTCGCATGTAACATAAATAATCTTAATTAATTAGGGTTGGAGGTGGAGCCGATAAAAGAAAGAGTTTATAATAGTGTAGTAAGGTGCCATTAAGGGCATCTTGCTGCATTCAAGACTCGTCAAAACACCATTCGACCAGGGAAGGAAAAGACCGTACGACGACCAGAAATAAATTGAGATGAAAATAGAAGCACAATCAAAATAAAATAAAATGAAAAACCATATTGACACCAATTTTAGAACAATTTTAAAGTTCTACTGTACCCTAATAAATATCTTACAGAATGAGCCCAAAATCTTAATTCTTCACCCTCCGGAACACCATTTTTTCCTGACATCAGAAAAGTTCTATAATTCGACTTAAAAAAACTTGTGACAAACGGGAAATGTCACAGTTAATTATGATGTGGGTTGATTGTGAAAATTTCATGTAATCACTAATCAGACTCTTCACTGTCGCTGCAAGATTGTGGACCCCAAAACTTCGAAGCAAATTCGCTCTCATTCGACGAAACTTGACAAGTAGCATTGGTGAAGTCCCTGAAGCGCAAAAGACCATGGCTTACACCGCAGCTAGCTGTAACCATTCGACACCCTTTTACAGCCATTGCTGAACACCCACGGCGAGAACTTGAACCATTTGGAGGACAGCAACTAAGGGAATTTGTTTGAGTTCCAGTGTCAACCTCCCAAACATTGATGTAAGGGTCCTCGGGGCCTCCAGTAACTACTTTGTACGGATCCATGTGCAAGAATGTTACAGCACCTATATGACCATCCAACTCAGTTATTGGTTCTGCTTTTTGTGTGTCGCAGCTCTTCCTGATGTCCCATAGCATTGCCCTGTATGACAAATTTTAATGTTCGATTTCTTAGTTATTGTCTATAAAATATACTTAAATCAGCAAATTGTAAGCTAAACCACTGGTCCACTGCAGTACCGGGAGCTCAGCAAGAAGACTAAAACCAAAACTAGACAACTCGGGGAATGTCCCTAGACAAAGGATGTGAATATAATACGGTGATTCTATATTGCTAATTTTCTTTTCCTTGAATAGGAATTCACAGCACAACTTTTGGGTCATGTCAGTTTCTGTTTTTCAGACTCTGGTCACAAAGAGCCACATGACACAATTAAAAGCAACTGCGAAGAAAAAAAGGAAAGCTGCATAATATTATATGTTTAATAACTCATCTAAAGAGATGTGATATAAAGCCACAACCAATTGAAATATTTTAAGCTCTTAAGGCTTACTGAAACTTGTCAAAATCAATCCATCAAGAAAATATAATGTTACTGGTGTTTGTTTAAACAAACTAAAAGGTCAATTGCCCAGTGTTGGTGCGAGGTGGGGTAGGCTCGATCCAAGCCCAATCTTTAGCATTAGTTGCACAAAGTGGATGCACTCAAAATTTGAACTCATGTTCTCAGGCTAGTAAGTCGAATGTTTACCACTGTACCAATTACCAAGCAGTGACCTCTTATGTAAACAAACTAATTCCAATGTTGCAGCACATAGAGAAGAATGACCAGAGAGTGTTTTGAATGTCCCATGCATCAACATGTATCAATTCTTGGTCTACAAGGCATCTGAGGTCACCCGATGGAACAAAAAGATGTGCTGACAAATGAATCTTGAGAAAAATAAATAAATTGAACTAAAAACCTTTGGAACACTAGGATCATCTCAAACACCTTGCAAAACCTAATGTAGACTCAGAAAAATACTCATTTCATGTTTAAAATTTTGGAAATTTCATAATGCAATGAATGGGACTTAATGGACCTTAAACGGCAATAGAGACTGAATATAAAGTGGAAGATTCATATGAGGGCTAAATGTAGAAAGGAACAGCGGAACTAATCGAACATAGACCCTCATTCTAGCATTTAATCAAGAAGACTTGTAATAGTGCAGGTTCCTCATATTAAAAATAGGTCAAGTAAAATATCAAGAATATGTTCCAACAAACAAAAGCAGCCAAAGACCAGATATAATAGAATAATCCAACCACATAACTCTTAATTTCAAAAAATATATAATTTCCATATCGAGTTACCTGCCAATTCCACCCATGCAGATCAAGGACTTTGAAGGCATAATCTCAAGTGAGTGTAGTTTTGGTTGATTCATTGGTGCATCGAAAGCTTTTTGCATTGTTCTCAAATCAATTGCGACAACAGAGGAACCAGCAGCAACATAGAGCAGGGATTCATGGCATTTCATGCCCACAGGTGCGCCAGGCACTGAAGTCATTCCCACACAGCAAGAAGAACGAACAGCAGAAGAAGACACATTGGTATCCCAAACCCTTACCTGAATGAGACTCTAAAATTTTTAGATAAGAGCCAATGATAATAATTTATAGTAACAAATCACTTAATAATCTGATTATGGATTTAACAATCACTTCGTGATCAGGCCCTTAGTTCTTAATACTTTTCTTGGTTATAGAGTAAGGGTTAATACACTTGGGAGGTTCCTAACAATTAACAATTGTAGATGTCTCCTTTCATGATTCAAAAGTCAAACTGACCTTGACCTCCCATTAAGTCTGTTTAATCATGGCAACCCCATCAGTTAACTAGCTTTAAACCGAGTATAATAAAATTTAATCGCGTCATGCAACAACCATATGCTAATGCTTGCTTATACGATTAGTTATTATTATTATTATTATTATTATTATTATTATTATTATTATTATTATTATTAGCTGCTATACAGAGATCTTAAACAACTGTAACGTCTAGGACACACTTCTCAGATAACACTTGGGCAAATATAACCTTTCCTTTTGACTTATCATGTTCCTTCCACCATCACTTAACTTTCCCATTCATGCCAACATGACCAAGTGAACAAAGCCAAATTACCACCTTTCATCTCAAAACAACAAAAAAGCCAACATCACCAAAACCTGCTTTAATTGCTGACGGCCATCACTTGATCAACAATTCCGCCTGCTATGTTTGGAAGGATTAAATGTAACATGTCTGGGAAGTTAGTGCACATAGAAGCACTGTTCAATTAATTCTACAGGGTGGAATATATTATCTGACTGTTCCCTCCAATGATAAATATATGCAAGAGGTAAGACAAAGATCAAACAGCAAAACTAATCCTATAATTATAATAAGAAAATCTAAAAATTTTTCAGGGATAGTCAACGAAATAAACTAATAGCAGGTCCCATAATACAACTGCATGATAACTACATATTTGCCCATTTCAGATGTAAAATAGAAAATAAGGATAAAGGGCAATACCTATATAGCTGTCTGAAACTAGTATCAACGAGCAACAAGTATGACATGTTAATGTATGGGAAGTTCAGACATGGGGAACCGTCATGCAGTTCCTTCTATGTTTGGAACAAAACAGTTGATTGGACACACCTATAATTGCTTAATAATTATTTATAGCAAATTACTGAAAAAAAAAAAAAAAAGTAAAAGCTGTTTTAGGAGGATGACAGTACCTTGGAATCTCTTGACATGCTCACCAAAAGAGAAGTTTTGTGCCTAGAAGATTAAAGAAAGAAAGCAAACATCATTATCATAGTAGATGAAGTGTCTAGTTGCAGGAAATATCGCCTGTAAAATAAAGGTTCACACAGGAACCACAATAACATGGTTCTTATCTTGCGATGGAACTGTGATTCCTACGTTTTGGAACCACTAATTGAAGCAAGTTTGGTAATCAAGGGTTTCATAATATTTCGTATAAAACAGTTTGAACTACATGAGAAGAAAAGGAATTTAAGTGTAAAGTTCTAGAACCCAAAAGAAGAAAGGGGAGGGGGGAGGAGGAGGAGGAAGGGGGGGGGTATAACCAGATTATTCTTCATAAAAAGTTCAACAACTAATCTTTATCAGAAATTTCTGTTACAGGTCCATTAAAAGGCAATCTACTTATGGGAATTAAGCAGGAAAAGAAACCAACGGGCCAGTGGCCTAGCGGTATCAGCCTCTTACTTCCCAAAGGGAGGTTGGGGGTTCAAGTCTCAGAAGAGACAAGTGTGTGTAAGTACCAACCAAGAAAAAAAAAAAAAAAAAAAAAAAGGTATGGAAAACCATTTTCGAGTGAACTCTTCCCCTCTCTTGCTGCCAAACATTATTTTGCAACCAACCACGCTTCATGCTACATATATACAAACATAAAAATATATATAATGTGTTGGAATCCCAAAATCCATTCAGCTGAGGAGAAAGGTGGTGGAAAGAGAGTAACGTGAAAAGAGAAGGGGAAGATCTTGCACTCCTATAAGATGTCCATTATTTAAATGGAAGTGTACCCAATTCCCCAATTCTAGTTCACTCTAAATGTTAACACACTGCAGTAGCATACATGGCAAAAACAAAGAACTAATTTCCTATAGTGCTCTGGGCATTCTTTTTATAAGTATTGCTCTCCAGAAATGTTGGTTTTTCAAACTTAAGCAATAGGCTACAATTCAAAAACAAGCACAGGAGCAAACTACCAAAAGAAAGTTACCAATTCTACAACAACTATTTCACCACTTCTTCAGCAATAAAAATTAGAACATGAAAAGCAAGGGGCAAAAGAAAAGATCTGCAAGAAGAACTTCAGTAGATAAAGTCTAGAAACAGGTTTGTACCCGGCAACTGACATATGTACTACAGGTTTCTCATGCCCATAAAGTGTAGCCCTTAGAGCATGTTCGCCACGCTTTCCACTTGAGTTGAGGGACCAAAGGCGAACAGTACTATCTACCCCTCCACTAGCAAAAACTTTTCCAATACTGTCACCCAACAGTTTGTCTGAAAGGGTGGAAACCGGGCCATTATGACCTCTGAAACATCGTTGGCAAGATCCCTACAATCAAAGGGTGGCGCTGACGAATTTTAGGGAACAACTAAATGCACAGAGTTATAACTAAAAAATACTGATTTATTCTATTCCTGCAACATGTTGAACTCTAATAACTACATAAATAATTAATCATATGGTACTATACTACTTCAGATACTTCCTCCGTCCCAAAATGGATGGGCACTTCGGGAACTGTGACTCACAATCATCTATTTTGGGACGGAGGGAGTATTTGTCAAATCCCCCAACTGATTAAAAGCATGTGTCATATCAATCAAGCAGAAAGGCCAAGAACAACGTAAATTTTTACAATACCTTCCACCATAGACGAATGGAATGATCACAACTTGAGGTTACCAAAACATTTTCATTTCCTTGTGTCTCACTTCGAAATAAAGACGTTTCATTTAGGGGGAACAACCTGCAGAAGATAGGCATAGCATCTTAGAAGACACCAAACTGCCACAAAAATAATGCATTAAACGGGTAACAATCAATACTAAACGTTAGGGCCAATGAAAGTCGCCTTTTACAATCTTGATTCTGATGTTCACTTTTCTGTTCTTTTGTACGTAATTTATTATCCACTTTACTAGTAAAAGTTGAACATACATATATGCCCATGTGTTAAATCATAGTTCAGGCTTCCAATGTCACAAAAAATAAGCATATCAGGTGCAAATTGAAGATCCCATGCACGTGAATGCATGCTATAAGCGTTACAACTAACTAATTCATTTCTCATCTTTCTTAGATAAAAATTTACATTTCTCGATATTGCACTATATCAAGAAAAGGAATAAGACTTTAAAAAGTATAACATAAGGCTAAAAAGACAATCCCGTGATTCTAAAAGTAACGAAAAACCCCTTTTCTTGATAAACAAAACTAAGAATGCCAAAGGGATCAAAGTTCACAACGAAAAACCATTAACACCACCAGTTCACCTTGTGGCCTTTGGCTTATGGCTTGAACCCTAAATCACAAGGCCAAGGTCCGAAACTGGTAGAACGTATGCCAAAACCATTAATGACCAAAAGGCATAATGTATGAGCCCCACATATCATTTATGACTTATGAGCGCTTTTACCCTATGGAAGATTATACTTCACCATTTCCATAGTGACATTATTTTCAATCCTTTCTGTCAAAAATGACCGAAAACATACCAAGAAAAGGAACTTGATAAGAGCTTGGTTCAAAGAGTAATAAATGACTTTATGGCTTATGATTTATAATTGATGTGGCTGATATAGAGTTGAATGGAGAATGCATTCATGTAGCCAACTCCAAAGTTTATGAGAGAAAGTTCACATAAGTTCACACACAAACACATACAATATACTTGAACATAGTTTATGAGATTAGCACACTAAAGTTCACACACAAACACATACAATATACTTGCATATAGTTTATGAGATTAGCACTCTACTTATTCCCATTAGATACTCAATTCCATTCACTAAGAAACCAAAATAAAAGTAGAATAAAAACATCAGATAAACCATCATTATTCATATGAAGATTTAACATAATTACTAATAATCCATGGCAAAAAAATAATCAAAATAGATTGTTATGTTTAAATAAATAAACAAATAAAAATACTATATTGCATCTTTGATATATATGATATGCATATGCTGCATCTTTGATATATATAATATGGTTGATTTACATACGGTACAAGCATAATGACTAATATCAGGTGGAAATGAAAGCTTCACCGTTTCGATCCTTCAAGACATATGACTGACCGTCTTTCTGGCAATATAACTGCTGCTTCTGACTGTTATAAATACTAAAAAATTAATATGAAGTGTGCAGGATAAACTTTTTTCTCATGGTTTTAGAATTAAACAAATGTGCATAACAATAACTTGGTGGTTTAAAATTCAATGCTTTGACGAGAATATAAAGATAAGAAGAAATTCTAGAGGTCATTGTTCATACTTCATAGTCACCTCCAAAATAACATAAAAAGAAATGTAATAAAAAGTGTCGTAGATTTTTCAAAGCATACAGGATCCATCCTGGAAAGAAGCAAATGAATGGGACATTCTCACCTCATACAAGTAATTTTTGCATTGTGGCCGTTTAAGTGGACAAGGGATTCTCTTAAATTTAAAACACCATCAATCTTCATGACGTTTATTAGTGCACCCTGCTCAGTAATATCCAACAAAAATAAAGTTAATAGATGTAAATGATGGTAGAAATATTCAATGAATCATTTTCTCAGCTTTTACGAGGACCAAATGTTGATGCCATAAAATAAAAGCAACAATGCATCATCATTATTTTATTTTATCTTTGGGGGGATCATCCCATTAACAAGAAGAAACTTAAATGAGAATTTCATCCCAAGATGAGAGGCAAGAGATGGAATATGCAATTACACTGTCAGAAAGTATTTTCCACAAGCAATAATGCACAACTGAAGCACCCATAGACATAAAGCCAACATTATCAAGGCTGTAATGTGGACCAAGCTACTCAAACTCAACTCCAGTTTGCTCAGTAAAACCCATATGTTAACTAATACAAGCCATTGTTTTCTCTTATAACTTTTTAAGTCAAAAAAAGACGAGTCAATTTGGCCAACATGTGGACTGCCGCCTTAAAAGATGTAATTTTCAGATCATTTTCCATTTCTTTTTTATCGTACTTAAAACTTACAACAGTCAAATCTGAGAAACTAAACTATTAAACAATCATGATTTTTTTTTTTCCTAGTTGGTACTCACACAGACTTGTCTCTTCTGAGACTTGAACCCTGACCTCCCTTTGGGAAGTAAGAGGCTGATACCGCTAGGGCACTAGCCCGTTAGTAAACAATCATGATATTACAATAAGCAAAAAATACCACTATGTTTGGAGAACCCTAAATTCTACGAAACTCTAGAAGCCACCACTAGGTAAGCACAGAACTGCTATGAGCCGAGCCAGCTCAAGTAGATAGGTCCTCCTCCTGAGAGCTTCATTTTAATCTGTAATCCTGTCCAAGCTCAAGTAAAGGTTGTAACTTGTGAATTAACAACATCCAATGGCGCTTGACAAGCTTGGACTAAACTTGGCGAGGGTAGTTTTCACCCCTGAACATTATCTTCCAATTGAATCAAAGATATTCCAGCTTAGAATAACTGGACAGTACTCATCAGTACATCATATTTCATTAATTACGATTTTTTCATGTAATTTTTTATAACTGCACAGTACCCAATCAGTACAACATCCTTCGCAAATCAAGATTTTTCAGATAATTTTTAGAAAACTTGATGAAGTGGAAAATCTCATTCGATGGAGAGTTTGAACATATAGCGAGATTTTCTTTTCCTCCATATAAGAATGAAATATATACATAGTTATTTTGTAAAAATTAGACCAACTTTAGCTATATCATATCCATCCCAATACCACCTTATGCATTCATAATTAGTAAAAGTTGTGGTGGAATCGTTCTTATATCAGAGCAATATAGAAACAGAAAGCCATAACAGTTATATTACCAGCAATTACTTATGGATTAGAACTATCATAAGCAACATAACTACAAGATGAGTCCAATGAAAGGTTGATAATAAGATAAATGAGTGAGAAAGAGACATGCATCAGCTCAAATAAGTGACTTAATCATACCCCTAGAAGAAGTTCCTCAATTCTAATGGCAATCGTACTGTGGCAAAGAATGTTTAAATAAATGCCTCTCAGTTGCAAAAGATAGAGGCTGCTCAGACTTACCAACATGCCAGTGGCCTAGTGGTACTAGGTCCCTACTTCCCAAAGGGAGGTCAGGGGTTCAAGCCTCGGTGAAGGCATGTGTGTGTGATTACCAAGTAAGAAGAAGAAAAAAAAAAAAAAAAAAAAAAAAAAAAAAAAAAAAAAAAGTAGTTCAAACTTTGGTAAAAAAAGCAGACTGCACATGATTTCTACACTTCCAATCATCATTCCAGTATAGAATTAACACCAGAATTCAAATGCACTATACAAATCAAAACACCATTTACTGTAACATGTTTTTATCAATCAGGGAAAATTTTTTTTTTTTTTTTTTTTTCCGTTGAATAAATTAAATCGTTCAATGATTATGCAAGAGATATTACAAAACTATAACACCTGATTTTCCTTCGATTCCCCAATCCACCCAATTCCAAGAATGAAACAAAATTCAAAAATAGTACCTAAAAAAAATGCTACACTCCTACTGGTTTCTTAGAACTATGTCGCTTTTATACGACATGAAAATAAATGCTAAAAGGAAAATGAATTTAATACCTGTGAAACAATGATATCATTGTTGTTAAAACCGACGAGGTTATTAGGGTTTGCATTTGTATAGAAGTCAGCAACTAGGGGATCAACAAACTTAAATTGTTGCAAAGCAGTATGCCTGGCCAAATAAGCTTCCCTGACACTTGATGTTTGTGAAAAGCAAGAAGGCAGCTGTTGCGGCCAACGCTCTCTGCAGGTTTCAATATGCAATATACGAGTAAGTTCTTGAAATCTTACAGAAGTAGATACACATCTTCCGCCAAATGCCAATTAAAATCTTCTACCCCAGGCAAGCAAGTGTCAAAGAGACAAAGCTGGATTGCCCCAAAACAACAATGAAAACTTGACCCCGTTCTTTAAAGAAAGTAAAGAAAAAAATTGAATAAGAAAGAAAGAAAGAGAGTGTGCTTCTCTAGAGTTCAATTGGGTTATGCAGACATGATGACTCATGCCTATAACATGATTTATAATAAGACCATTTCCCACTAATAAGTTGACTGTCCAAAGAGCAAGAGTATTCTCTATTTGCCCTAAACAAAAGCTAAAAAAATAGAAGGGGATATTATTTCAACATAATTGAGCCTCGGAAATAAAATTAAATAAAAAGATATAGTAAAAACTGATGATAAGTCCATGAAGAATGGAAAAATGTCAAAAACGAATTTTTTTGTTTTATTTTTTTTATTTTTTTATCACTTATCATCACCGCAAAGGAAAAGATCAGATAACACAAAATCAAAGCAGGCTAGAACAAAGTACATTATGTTATGTTCCGTTGCATGGAATTAATGCTTTGGAATTAGAGAAAAATTAGTTCAAACTTTAAACTTATTTTTCACCAATTCCAATTCCAAGACACCAATTCCATGCAAGCATTAAAGCTTTCCAAATTTCATCCCAGCAGAAAAATTAGATTCTTGCAGAAGCCAACTCTTACAGTTTATGAAGTCTAGAGAGTTTGTAACCTAGCAAAAACACACAAGGCCCTGATGAAGTCCGTTTTTGATACAGAAGTTATATCTTATTACCTATGATGAATAATAACACCTGCCAAAATGCACACTTATTCCAAATAATCAATTTTTTTTAAGAAGAAAAGAAATCAATTAAAACTGCAAACTATTTCATCAAATTTCGACGAATATTAACGAAGGAAAACTATATATATTGATTCGAACTCTATATGGTTTTATTCCATGAGAAGATGATTCGAATTGGGAAAATCTAAAATAAAAAATAAATTAGCAGAAAACAGAGGAGTAGAGAGAGAGAGTGAGTAACCTGAAGAGGGAAAACCAGATGGAATCGGAATAAGAGACACGGTTGAGGTATTTGCAGGTGAGAGAGAGATTGGAGATGTCATGGAGGCTGAGGAAGCTCGCACAGTGAAACAGCGAGTCTGCATCCAAATCCGTTATGGTTGTGGTTGTGATTGATGGTGAGCTCTTGTTTGTTGATGTTGATGGTGAACAGGAACAAGGATCCACCATATTCATTTCTGATGATTGGATCAAACCCTAGAAAGGAGATGGAGATGGAGTAGAGACTAAGAAATCAACCGTCTATGGCATCGAATTGTCCTCTTCGCTTAAACGGTGGAGAGTGTCGCCACCAAATTGAAATTTGGCGTGACGGTACGGTCGGTGAGCACAATCGCATGCTATTTCATGCGGTTTGTTCGGAAAAATTTGCTCACATACGTCGTCGTTTGGTATATTAAAAGTGCAAGACATAAAGCATTTTTTTTCACAAACACATCTATTTTTAAACTCTAAATTAATAAATTCATTGAAAATAACATAAATAAAATGAGAAAACATTTATTTTTTATATATAATAATCTATTTATATTATTATTTTTAACTTTTTTTCTACTTTTTAAAAAGAATTCACCGTATCATGGACACTCACAAACTTTGTTAAATGTTTAACACTACCTTGCTTAGTTTATAATTTTAAAAACAGTTTTTTGTCCTCGTAAAACTGAAAAATCAAACTAGAAATAGAAAACTGAACAATTTTCTAAAAAATTTTTAAGAACTGTTTTCAAGTTACAAATCAAGCATATTTTTCACTAATCTAAGCATCTTTTTTCTTTTTTCTGTTTTTTTTAGTTTCATTGATTTAAGCCCGATTATCGTCTTTCTTTGTTCAATAAACGCTCCACATAATAATAAGGAAATAATAATTACGTCGACCCTAATTCTGTTTTTCTGCTTCTCAATAAATGTTGATTCAAAGCAACATTATCTAACAAATTTATAAAAATTGAAAAGTGTTGCCGAAAGAGACTCACATTCGCTGTTATATAACCTGTAAAACTCTAGTCCAAAACGTGGATGGAACAACATTTCCATCCCATCACCGGAAAATCAATTTATTTCTACCCATCTAGGATTTAAGTAGGAATGAGCAACACATTTTTTGTAGTCCACCGTTGATAAAAATTAAATCCAAGCTCACATTCTAGATATACTGATGAATCCAAGAACAAAAATAGCCTCCCAAATAAGAAATTAAACATACACAAACTTATTTGTAAAATTTGCATACATTGCCACCACATCCAATCTTTGGGACTCGTAATAATCAAGGGATTCGGATGGGAGCAAAATCTACAAAAGAATATGCAGAATACCATTTGTTATATTCAAAGTAGTTGGAAATCAACTAAAATATGAAAACAACGCTGTCGTGCACTCTGGACTTCTGGTTCTGAGCTACGCATTCGGATATCCACATCAGGTTCCTGATCTCCTGCTCCCTCAACCTCATGTATGCAAAGAACACAGCATAGTGGAACTGCATTTCAGAAAGGAAAACATATGTTTCATACTAATAAAGTGCGTATAAGGAATTGAACAAAATAAAAACCAGTAACTTTGCTAGATGCAATCAAACATATGCTCCTTTGCAAAATTTTCATGCATGAACACTTCTAACAGAATAAAAAATGAACTAAACAGCTCGTTCTCGGGAATACAAACCTGTTGTTCAAATGACAAGCAAAGCCTTTTCACCTCTTCCTCGTAGAAAGCCTTGTCAAGCATCTGGCTCTCTCCATAGGATAACTTTGCAAATATGGGCTGATAAGGAGGGTATTTTTCCATGACAGCACGAACCTAAAACGGTAAGCAGAGTTTGATAAGGCGGCACATTCACTTAATAATGTTATTTTTCTCTCTTTTTTTTCATTCTTTAGTTCATGAGTCCAAAGCTCTCAAACTTCTTTATTTAAAGGAAATGAAATAACACCGCTTTGAAATCCTCACAAGGACTTGAAAATCCCTCTCTTTTACCCACATATAGGATACTAAACCTGAGTATTTTGAAACCTTTTCCTGTTAAAATCCCTGGTCAAATCCCCCACCAACCACGGTCAAAGAAAACAGGGGTAAAACCCCCGTATTCCCCACTAAATGACTGAAACTAGGGTCAGGTTCGGCCATCCTTGATCATCCATGGACCATGATGAAAAAATATGAATGTACGTATGAATTTTTTCACTGTTTAGAAAGAATAAAATCATAGTGAACTTTTACAACTACTACTACTACTACTAATAATAATAATTATTATTATTATTATTACCGTCATTGTGAACTTTTGGTTCTTTCATTTTTATAGATTACCAACAATGTGGAAATGACATAAAAGAAAATGTCAAAGAATTTCATCAAGGTATCATCTAAGAAAAGACTAATGAAAAGGTAACAGTGCAGCCATGATAACTCAAGGGGGAAGGGATCTTCCATATTTTTCAGTTTTTGGTCACAAAGGTGGAAGAAATCAAAGAAAAGGCGTTTCATTCAGACAAAGAAAAAGAAGATCGCATTACAAACATGTCTTTCATGTGTGTCACACCTCTTATTAGGAATTAGGAAACAACAGGAATAACAGATTCCGAACATACCTGATCTATATCCTCACAGACAGCAAGTTCCTCATGACCATAAGGGTAACTGTTTCAGATAGAAACACCAACATGAGATAAGGAATCTCCAAAAAAATATTAACATCAAAGGTTAAATATTCAAAAAAAAAAAAAAAAGCTTTGAGCAAAAGCTTACAGTAAACCAAAACTAGAGTACAGCTTTCTACGATCATCTCGAGTAAGCTCCGTGCCAATGCTGCACATAATACACAAAGAATAAAGAAAAAAGAAGTAGATGCAATAAGATTTCACAAAAAGACCACCATCTCTAACAGCAAAATTCTAAACAATAACACCACCTGTTTATGGTGATATTAACAGCTCTTCTGTCAGCCTCAAAGGCAAGAAGGTCGGACATGATCTCTGCAGTGGCACCACCAAGTTTCTATCCAAAATATTCACATTAGACTTGACTAGAGAAAAAGGAAATGGCACATATCCGTAAGTATATAAAGAAAGAAAAATTAGCAAATTGGAATCAACACTCACTTGACAAAACCTATAGAAATCTTCAAGGTAAGCCTTGTAAAGGGTATTCCTCATAATTTCAATGTTCATGTCATCCAAATCCTGCAGATGACGAAAGATATAAAAGAGTAAAACAGTAATATAAATCATTGATCTCTAAAATAAATGTAGTGAAAAGTAGTCAAACGTTACTGACAGGAAAATACATTAAATAACATTATAATAAAAGAAAAGAATTTTTCCATGCTTATTCTTTTCCCAGTAAGTGAAATATTTCTATTCTCCAGTATCTATTTAAATAATGTATAAAAGAGAATCTATTCATGTAATACTAATATCACTAACAGTAATTGTTACTGCCATTCTTAGCAATGTAAATGGTAAGAGTATTTTTCGGTGTGTTTAATTCAGGTTTGTGAACCAACACGCCAGTAGCCTAGCGGTACCAGGCTCCTACTTCCCAAAGGAAGGTCAGGGTTCGAGCCTCCATGAAGGCATGTGTGTGTGAGTACCAATTAAGGAAAAAAAATTAGGTTTGTGAACCCATTTATTTATATACTTCATCGAAACCCACAAAATCATAAAAAAATAAAAAAACTGTTCGAATAGAAGAAATATTGGGTTCAAGTATAAGAAAAATTGCAGATAAATTTGTTGTGGTGTCGTTAAAGCATTTCTGATGTTCTTTATAAAAATAAAAAAAACAAAAAAAAACAAGGATAGCAGTTTGCACCTCGGATGTGATACACTCCGAAAAGTACGGAGCCAATGGCGTGTCAACAAGCACCAGTCTATAAAGCTCCCTCATATTCTGAGCAACTGCCAGAGTAGCAATACTGAGGAAACAAATTGCAATAAGCATCGCCTTAATAGCAATAAGAACAAAATCAGAAACATGCATTGAAAAACATTACCTGTCAAACATGCCCAAAGGGTGGCATTTCTCTAACAGTTCCTGAACATCTCTCTCATGCAAGGTTCCAGTAACGATCAGGACAACATTGTCAATCATGTGACCATATCTGAACAATATGCAGAAATATTAGTTTTCCACTAATTTCTAGGATGATTTCTTTTCCTAGCTAAGCATTAGTCCAAACTGATTGAAAAGCAAAAATTCATCCCCATCCTTCCAGAAAAAGTGGTAGCTCATAAGCTGGAAAAATATAATACCCATGCCGCCCACTAGCAAAGCCAAATAGATAAAGCTCAGTGAGGGCAGCAGCCCCAACTCAAGTTTTAATTATAAATATGTCCCGCTCTCCCTTCTCAAAATTGTCAAAATAGATAATTTATCCTTAAGTTTTTCCAGCCATTTTATTTTTTCTCAGTGTTCCTGTTTTTTCTAACAAAGTCCTACGGTAAGTTCACCTCCTCCATGCACACACAGACTACTAGTTAGTTTCATGTGATGCCATGAAACTAATTATTAAAAAATAATAATAATAAAAAATAAATAAAAAATCCAAAGCTTGGAACCAAAATGATTCCACTTACACGGCCCAACAATATCTCAGATTTTGCACACTGCATCACTTTGGGTGACCATTGTCATGCCCTTAACCCCCAAATGTCACCCAAAAACAATGTTCAAAAAAATTGGTCTTATAAAAAAAGAAATTAAATAACTTGAGTTAGGGATTGAAAACAAAGTATGGAATTAAGAACAAAATTATTTTTTTAGGAGATGTAGATATAGTTTTTTAATGTGTAAATTCAAACTAAATTCACAATTTGAACCTCGAATCCATTTATTTCATACCATCCAACCAAATGCAGAATAAATGTTTAAAATGGTCAAAAGAATAGCAATCCAAACATATACTTAAGATCCTGGAGTGATTAAATTGCCAATATATATATATATATACTTATACATATACATATATAGAAAAAAAACAAAATTCAAGGAGACAAAGATCCACTTACGTGATATACTCTAAGAAGGTTGACAAAGGCTCAGTGGCTTGGCATAACATGTTCTTATACTCATCAACGAGTTTAAGTGTGCATTTCTCCACGATAGTAGTTGTATGTAATGGGGAAGGTTCTGCAAACAAAAGATAACTATAATTAGAATATGAGCTAAAATTATGCAATTCAATCTGCCCATTAATTAGTATAACAAAAGGTTATCCAAATCTATAGAGTATCTTAGATATAATATATATATATATATATATATATATATATATATATATATTCTAGCATACAAGCTCACTTATTTAGACAACATATTTATGTAATTAAAAGGACTTGAAAACATAATTTTTTCATAATAAATCATTTTCATGTTAACTGTAACAGCAATTTTTCAAAGAGCATCGAGTGAGTACTTGCATAGTTAAGATGCAATCTGCCATGAACAGTCTCCACTAAATACAGCATAGTTAATAATGCACTAAGCATCAGCTAAACAAAGAACCAACTCAAACTGGATTAAGAAGTATGATTTCGAGTCAATAACTTGCCGTTCATCCAAGCCTCAGACAAACCCATATGCTACCAGATCACACCAAATTTTCCATTTAATTAAAAAAAAAAAATCCAATTAGACATCTAAATTATGCAGACGAGTCTCCAAAACTTCAATTTAAGTCCAATTAGGCATCTGAATTATGCACACGAGTCTCCAAAACTTCAATTTAAATGGTAACAAATAGATAACAATTGGAATAGAAGAACGCAATTGAATTGATTAATTTTGAAGAGCGATGTGAACTGACCGTTTTGGAGATAAGGGCCGTACTCGGTGGCCGAGAGGTGCATCTTGATGTCGTCCAGGGTCTCGCACTGGCACAGATTGTTGTAATCGGCGGCGGTGAGCAGCCCGGACCGGTGGCCCCTGACGATCGCTTCAAGATAACCGCCATGAATGTTGAAGGTAAGAGCTTCGAATCCATACATGTTTCTCAGATGCACAGAATCCGATCTGAGAGGAATTTGGAGATCTAGAGAGAGAGAGAAGAATCCCCTTCGCGAAAACCCTAACGATGCAGAAAAGGAGTAGGGAATTGCAAGGTTAGAGGAAATGACGAAGGGGAGCTTACGAGCAGAGGAAAAGAGGAATTCCGATCACCTGCTTGTAATTTTGTTTATGTCATCTCACAACTCACATGATTCGTAGATTGATGAAAGGTATTAAAGTGATTAAAATGATTTTGTAAAATTATTATTATTATTTTTTTTAAGAAGTGTCGTGTATACTCGTAATTTTTTTAATGTATTTATAATTTGAAATATATATTTTTTATTTTATTTCTAGCGATTTATTATACAAACATCTCATATATTTTGATAACTTATTCCATACTTCTCAAATATTTCCCAGACATATGTTTACCGAATGTTCAATGTTGAACTACTATTTCTTCAACTCTCAATTTGTTTGCCATTGTTTTTTTATTATATAAAAAAGTATTAATAACAATATATATAACATTACAAACAATTATTGTTTTAAATTTGTATGTATGTAAATATTTATAATATTGATTTCAACTTTTTTTTCTTTTTTTCCTTTTTGTTGAGATTTTCAATTTCGTCCCACGCATACAAATACAATGTCATATTAGTGTCCCTATTTTAAACTATTAACTTCCTATTTTATCTTTGTCATTACTTTAATTAATGTAATTTTAAAAAAGAAAATGCACCTTGGGGCCTGAACTAAATCTTTGCCAGTGCGAGACCATAAGCCCAGATTGTTGTAAACAACGCATCAGACAATTCATTGTTTGGGCTTGAACTAAATCTTTTAATTTCTCTTGGGCCTGGACAAAATCACAGAAGTTTGGTTTGAACCAGGCCAATTCTAGGGCCTGTGGTTCATAAGCCCAGCAATCTTTTGACTCTAACCATACAGGTCCAGTGTCAATGAACCTCTGCCACTTGTAGAACACCCAGCTTGTCAAACATTTTCTTTTCTTCTTTATTTTTATTTTTATTTTTATTTTTATTTTTTTGATGTCACCAAACATTTTGAAAAGAGGGATAGATACAAACTTGAAAACTAATGGATCACATGAGGTAGATCACAAATCACGTGGGAATCTTTTATCCTTTTTCTTTTTTTAATGTAACACAAGTGACCTCATACGTTTGGATGTGCCTTTGAAAATTGAAACCAAAATAAGTGTCCCCTGCGTTTCATCTATTATATTATTGCAAAAAATCTAACAATTTTTTTGTTGAATAATCTGTGTCCTTTGAGATTTTATCAATTTAAGATTTTTTTTCTTTAATAAAAACAGTATTTCAAATCCCTACATGAATGTTTGTGTATTCATATGTTTGTAAAAATATTATCATATTATATAGTTGAATTTATAGGTTGGAGTGGTACAGTACAACGTTTTTTTTGGATATTATGAGAAATATTTTGTGGATACATATTATTTACATAAATTTTATTTTTAAAAAAAAACGTGTATGTAATACATGAAATTTTATACTTACAAATTAAGAAAACCAACATGCACACATCACAAGTGTTGTTGATAAAAGTGTACAGATCATTAACACAGACCGCACGTGATGTCCGATATATGGATCCACGTGGCAACGGTTACAGTTGGAATGACGACCAGAGGAGATGAACCGTTACGGATACAGATTACAGAGACATCATCGTAATATACAGAACTGCCACATCACGCTTTTGAAGCGGAAAATGAGGTATTGCTTAGTACCTGCCACATCACACATCACATCTTTCAAGGAACTCGTTTTCCATACTTAGACCTACCAAACACGCCTTCTACTTCCAGATTCACACCAGAAACTTCCGACTTTTACCGCCCATCTATAGCAATTACTCCATAAATAAATACTCCTAATATATATATATATATATATCATCGAATAACATCATTTTATTTTGAAAAAATTAAGACAAAATTTTGACATTAGAGAAACGATAATGGGAAAAATCATAATCCTCGACTCATTGAAGTAGTTGGAGGCTTAACTGAAAAGAGTTAAATTAGGTCTTTTTAAATTAATTATATTAATATAATATTAATCATTTTTATTTTAAAATTATTCTGTTTGTTTAACTTGCAATAAGTTGAAGAATTTTTTTAAAAAAAATAACTATAGATAATATTTAAATAAATAAACAAATCTTAATTAATCAGATCTTGAATAGTTTTACACGGGAAAGGATGGTATATATAGTAAGTGTAATGATACAAAAATAGATCATAGGAGTCGAACAACTTCAACAAGAACTCTTTTGTGGGTAAAAGATAACAGTATGGATAAACTCATAAATATTTGAGTAAGCAAAAATTATAAAAGTGATCTTTTAATATGTTAATAATATTATTTAAATAAAAATATTTGAGAGTAGGACAACACAAATCTAATAAAAAAAAATTTCACTATTGTATTATATTTAAATTATTTAAAAATTAATTTTCACAATTATTAGTTAATTATTTTAGCTTAACTATTAGTTAAATATATATTCAATAGAAACGTGGAAGAAGGGGGAGGAGGAAAAAAATTAGATTAGGATAGAATTGTGAATTTTGATAGAAAGTGAAATGAAAATTTTAAAATTAATCAAATTCTTTAGCTAACCCGTATATATATATTGTAAATAATAATAACAATAATAATATATTGTAAGGAAGTAATAATTTTAGGGCCTTATAGTATGGAAATAGTTATAATTACTTGGAATTAATAATATAAGGAAAGAAAAATGTTAGAAACTTAGAAAGATAAAATAATAATTTTAGGGGCTTAATAATATAAGAAAATAAAATTTTTAAAAAGTCTAATAAAGCAAGAAAATAATAATTTTAGGCGTCTTTTTATTGGCTCGACTATCTAATAATGTAAGGAAATAAAAATGTTTAGAAGTTGAAATAATAATTTTAAGACCTAACTAATAAAAGAAATAAAAAATTTAAGAAGTTTAATACAATAAGGAAATAATACTTTTAGGAACTTTTCTATTGACCGCCTAAGTCGTCTAAGTATGAAGCCGCCTTAAAGAGTTCCTAAGTCGTCTAAGTATGAAGCCGCCTTAAAGAGTCCAATATGAACTCTCTATCATCAATAAAAGATAAGAATTAACTCTTTCTCGCGACTTTTGTTAGTATTGGACTCGAGGCTACCATTATTACCAGCAGAAGATAGTGGGAGTGGTAGGTGGTATTTTTATTTCTGAGAAGGTGCAGTGCATGAAAAGCAAAACAAAATAAGTTTTGACATTTTGTTGAGAAACTTCCGAAATTAATAAAAACAAAAGATAATTTGTTGCAGAGTTTCTTTTAGGATAACAACAACTTAGACTAACCTTTTTCGTAAAAGTTTCCGTTACAACTTGGTGAGATAACTATGAATGATAAGGTGTCCATTCCTCTTTTTGCATGGCACAGAAAAAATAAAAGTTGCTATACAAACACATAAATATATATATTACACACACATATGGACATAATAGTCTTTGTTTGCTTTTGCATGGATTAATGAAAACACCTGCCATGGATGATAAATGTCATTACTCTCTAGTCATCGGTTGGCAGTGATTACATTTGATTTTCCCATTTAATTAATACATGATCTTCAACTTAAATATTTCTTTGACCGGGTTAAATGAATATTTGGTGAATAATTAGGGAGATTTTGATTGGTCCTTCATTTGTTACATATTTCAATAGTAACCCACTAAGTTGTAAATTATATTGTGGTGATACCCTGTTTCAAATTTCATGTTAAAAGAATAACTTCACAGAAAGATAAATTCTAATACAGCTAATGTCCATATATTAATCCCTTTGTTTCCAATGCCCTTAGTTGTTGGATAATCTTTTATTTTATTTTATTTTTATGTATTCTAATGATATCTATTTAATCGATAATGATAGTTCACTGAGTTACTAGTAAGCATAAAATTTACCCATACTAAACATGATTCTGACTATTGAATGCGATTACTTTTTTTAATTTTTTTTTATTTTTTATACTACGATTTTAGATTTGAATCATATCCAATGGTCATTATGGTTGGTCATGTGGATAAATTGCACACCGGTGAGCAAAAGATGACAACCTATGTGGCGAATGCGACGTAGACCAGTGTGAAACACGAGACGAGCTACAGGTTGGACAACAATAAAATAAAAGTAAAGTGATGATGTGGGAACGAGAAAATATCATACTTCTTTGGGTTGTTACAAACACTCTATTTAATAGTATTTTATATGATATTTACAAAAAAGATTTATCCAACAGATATATATTTGGTAAGAAATCTTTTCTTATTCACTAATTTAAGAGGAAGAAATGTGATTGAAGGTAAATTCTTACCATTATAAAACAAGATAACTAAGTGAATATATAAAAGTTGATTACTCAAATCACACTTCTCATTAAGAAGAGTGGGCATAATTAGACCTATTCAACACTTGGCTCCTCTTAAATGACTTGTTAACTCTTGGACAAAAATAATTAGCTCGTAAACTATTTTTAATTTCATTAAGGGCTTGTTAGACTGCTTTTACTTTGTACTTTTGTTTTGTCCTAAACTGGAAGCAACATTTCTGGTTTGGAGTATGTCCAATACTATTCGAAAGGATATTTAGTAACATTATAATTGTTACGATATTTTTTAAAGCGCAAAAACATGAAAATATGTTTCGTAAAAAAAATTTGCAAGTTAGAAATATTAAATGGCTGGTTAAAAAGGTAATTTAAGAGTGTTTTTTATTTTTTATTTTTGGTACGGTTCATCATTATAGTGCAGAAGCGAATGGAAACCGAAACACTAATTTGGTGCTTTCAGTTTTGGCCTCTTTTTTGAAAACATCTCGATACTATTCAAATTACAGTAAATGTTACTAAACACACTTTCATGTTTTGCTTCATTATAGTACACTATCCAAAGCAAAAAGCACGAAACAAAACGGTTGCCAAACAATGCCTAAATAAACTATAGTTGCACCATGTTAAATTAATTACAAGGTAACCCTTCTATCTATAATTAGTGACGGGATAAAATAATGTCATTAATTTATTTACCAATTTACCCTTATTTTGACTTCATGATTAATTCTATTTGATCACATAAAAATTTACATTGAAAATATAATATATATTTAATAAATAAATATAAATAATGTAATTTTATCAAAATCGATGGATTTTAAATTTCTATGATCAAACTAATCAAGTCAAAATAAATATTATAACACAGATATAATCTTGAGAATAGATGTTTCAATACCAATAATCATGATAATTTAAAATACTGGGATCCTAGACCAAGGGCCACATAATTAAATCAAATCAACCACTAATCAAATCAAGAGTCCATTACTCTCTTAGGTTTAAGAATTACTCAATATAACACTAATAAGTAAAAATTACTATAACAGGTATCATAATTTGTTCACTTTATCTTCTTTCCACTTTAATGCATGTGTCCAGCACATCACATGCATATTTTGAGTTTTCCACTCAAACGACTGAGATAAGTCATCTTATCCCATATAAAAACATGTTACATTTTTCAGATAGTGTCCAATTTCCATCACTGAATACGTTCTAATTTATGATAATGTAATTTCCATTATTTATATCACTTATGTAGAAAACTCTTCCATGCACATAAATCATATTACATAATCAATGGATAACTTAATACATGCCATGAATTAACCAATGCGCAGACATTTACCATATGTATGTAAAATATATAAATAATACAGAATTCATTAAAAAATAATGTCAAATACAGTCAAAACATTGGCTTGAAGGACATATAATCCCAACAGTTAATTCGTGTACCTTCCGTTACTTTGTCGTTGGTCATTTGCATTTTATAAATGGGCTATATATTGGAGTTTATCGTCTTCTTTGCCTTGCTCTAGAAAATGAAAAGGTTGCCATTTCAGGAGAATTTTTGGGGATCGTCAATTTGGCCATGCCAAACTTCCAAAAGCAAAGCGAAATCAAGGCAAACGCTTATGCTCATGCAATTTGCCCCGCCCGTCAGGGGGGAAGGGGGGTTGTTAGAGAGACATGCAGAGCAGATCCCGCTAATCCATATCTATCGCTCGCATTTTGCAGATCAAAATGCATACATCTTTCCATAGGTACGTGTGCGCGAATTAAACTGCATTTATTTATTATTATTATTTTTTGGTTATGGTAGAAGTGGATTTGTTGTATTTCTAGTTAATTAAGATCTCCATTTCATTAATTAATGTAATGATATGCTTTGAGCACTGAATCAGTGCTTTAATATTGAAATTGGATGAAATTTAATTTAAAATTTGAACTAAATTTCTCTAATTCTAACTCTAAAATGCAAATTCGGTGCTCCACATGCATCAAAAATGTTAAATTGAATGACTCTAAATCTACAACTTGCAATCTAATTTGGTGTTAATTGCTTGCATTTGCATATCAAAATGTACACATCTTTCCACAAGTAAGTGTGAATTCAACTACATATACTTCCTTTTGGTAAGTTTTTATTTTATTTTTTTTATTATGATAGAAATGGATTTGTTATATTTCTAATTAGTTAAGAGCTCAATTTCATGAATTAATGTGATGTTATGTTTGGGAGTACCGAATCGGTGTCTTGAAATTGGAATTAGATAAAATTTAAATCAAATTTTGAACTAAATTTCTCTACTTTCAAATTCAAAATGCCGGTTCGATGCTCTCAAACACAACATAAATGTTAAGTTGACTGATTTTGAATCTACAACTTGTAATATAATTTGGTGTTGATAATCAAGCTTGGAACATTTTTAAGTATTACTATTTTTGTAATATATAACCAACTACATCACACGGTATGATATTATCCACTATGGACTCAAGTCTGTACGGTTTTGCTCTTGATCGAGTTTTACACCAAAATGCTTCTTACCAATTGAAATGTACAAATCCTACATATATAGCACTTTTTCTTTCCACATCCAAGCGTTGTGGGATTGTGGACCTGCAGCTTGAGGCACTGATAGACTATCACATTGGGCGAGCTACATGTGCATAATCCCAAAAGCAAAACTGTGGATGCTCAGGTAAAAAACAGACAATATAATGCCATGTGGTGGAGTGAGTCGTTACAAATGGTATCATAGTTAGCCTGATCTATCAGGAAGTGTGGCCAACGGGGATATTAGATCCCAAGGGAATGATTATAGTGACATTGTGGGCGAGTTTGTCGTAGACAGGTGCAAGAGGCACCGATAGACTATCACATTGGGTGAGTTATAGTTGCACAATCCTACATGTGTGTGAAAAGAGAGAGTGTTATATATGTAGGTGTGTCACTTTTCCTTAAATCCTTCCTAATGGCTAAAAAGAAATATATATATAAAATGAATATGCAAGACTCATTTTTTAAATTCAAGATATATCCATAATTGGACAAATTATGTTATTAATATTATCAAATTTTGATAATTATATTGTTTATTAAAAGTTCTAGATAATTACATACCTAAAGAGAATACTTGATTAATTATCAAAGGAGAAACAATGAATAAAATTTACAAGAAGTAATGTTACACAACAACAACAACAACAATAATAAATAATAAATAATAATGTTACTAAGAGAGCTTGTGATAAGAGTCATAAATTTTTTCATATTCAACCAATGAATTGAAAGATTTATTAAATGATTTTATTGTCTTTTTATAAATTATAAAAATATTATCTCAATTCAATGATTTAATGTTAAGAGTTTATGACTCTTGAATAAGCGAACTTTCTTAATAACATTATTCATAATAAAGCAATAATACATATTGTGACAACCTATTACTGCAACACTTAATAATTTCTTATGGAGCTCATCCATGATGCGCTATGTGAGTGTCAGTTATTTTTGTAAATAATATAATTTTTTGTAATAATATGTATTTACTCAATAATGATCTCTAATTCATTAATGAGTATGAACTTTATGTACGTTGGACATGATGATTGTTAATTATAATTGTTATAGTATTTTTTTAATAATTACTTATTTTAAAAATGAATTATATTAAACAATTATCATGTTTGGCCTGAATAAAGTTGTTGCCCAACGGGAGCAAGAGATGATTAAAAAGTCAATTGCTTAGATTGACTGCGAGTTAAAAGGTGAGAAATCTAGTCAAATCAAAATATTAAAATCTGAAGCAGAATTTTCTAGTACGAATGCTCCATTCATCCAATCGTGGTCTTTAGTCTATTGTCTAGTAACATCAACTTTCAAATTTATTTCCATATTTAGGCACAGCATAACATTACTAAATCTGCGCACATTTCCATCCATGTCACATCAATAGGTGACACCAGTTTTTACTCCATCCTCACCGTAGATGGTACATGTATTTCTTGTTACAAAATTTCTTGCCTGCATTGAGATTTAACCCATTTCAACTCTAATTTTACTGTAATAGATAATAACTCTTTTATTAAGTGTAATTGTGCAAAAATATCTATTAATAAAAAATATGACATAAATTAGTGTTATAATACTCTTTTACTCCTTTGAAAATATCTAAAAGGGTATATATAATACTAATCTCATAATATAGGAATGTTATGTGTATATTACTTTTTTTTTTTTTTTTTTTTTTTAAAATTTCTCTATATATATCTTTAAACTTTTTTTTTTGAAAATTTGTAAAATAAGGATTTGATACTATTTTCTATTTTTTTTCTTTATTTTATTTTATTTCATACCAACATTGTTAAAAAAAGAAAAAAAATCCCAATATAACTATGCACTTATTTTCGGAGTTTGGAGCAGATTTGTTTTCTTTAGTTTGTACTTTATTTATTTATTTATTTTTTATTTTTATCTTTACTTTACTTTTCTTTTATACTTTTATTTTTGTTTTTTATTTTTATCTTTACTTTTTCATTGCTGGTGTACTCCAATAGTGTTCTTTTTGATTATTTTTCAAAATTATTTATTTTTATATATTTTATAAAATGGTTCAGTAAGAGTAATTTAGTCAACTTATGGTTTAAATTTGTCAAAGGGACCTATTTGCACTAAATTGAAATTTTAGAAGTGTAATCATGTAAGGGGTCGTTCTCCAATAGTATTCTTTTTGGTTATTTTACAAAATTATTTATTTTTATATTTTTTATAAAATAGTTTAGTAAGGATAATTTAGTTAACTTATGATTTAAATTTGTCAAGATGTATTTATTTGCACCAAATTAAAATTTTAGGGATTATTTTTTTGTATGTAAAGAGTGTGATATACATTATAAACATATTTTAAGTTTATTTTTTTTGCACTTGAAACATAATATAAACAAGGTATATTATTAATAACTTTGTATGCAAAACTGAAGTGTAATTATACGGTCAAAGTGCAATTACTAATTTACTCTCTCTCTCTCTCTCTATATATATATATGTATAACAGTATATGTATATGGTGATCCGGTACTTTCAAAAATAGCTTAAATATAAGTGACGCGTAATTGTATAAGAATGGATGGTGGAGATCTATTTAGTATTTACTTCTTTAAAATTCGATACTAGTTATAGTTTTTTTAACTTTTGGATATATAAATATATTCATCACTGTCGAACAAGGAGTAATTATATAAAATTCTATATAATCTAATTGTTTGCCCCTCATTTTCTCAGTTTTCATAGTCCACTCCACTCTCATTCAATTATAAGCCTACCAAACTAAAATTAAATTGAGGGAAATGTTGTGAATTGGGAGTATAATTGCCCTTTTGTACATAACATTGACAATCTTTGACCTTTAATAAATTCTAAAAAGTGTAATAATTTTTAATTAAGTAGAGGAAAAATGAACATAATTTACCTTATAAAAAATGAATTTGAATTTTTTATGTTATCGATTATGTTTATGCATGTAGATTGTCAGTGTAATACACTACAGTCCTGCAACAAATATTTAAAAATATGATTGATAGAGACATGATGCAACTCAGAATCAATTATTTACATACGAGGGATCCAGGTTTAACAAAAAAAAGTAAAAAATAAAAAAATGCATGAGAGTGGACGGGACTGTGAATACATAGAAAATGAGGGGCAGCCAATTAGAAAGCCAAATCTTAAAAGTGGTCTGTATAGATAGAAATCTGCTGTTTGAACAGCCCATAGAAAAACCAAGCATGGCCCATGGTTTTCGTTTTCTCTCTCTAGAAAACAACTGTTTCTCTCTCTCAGCTAACCCTAGCTCTTGTCTCCCTTTTAAACCCCCAGAACATCATCTCACCACCATTTCTAAACCCCCAATCACCTTCATCAACAGAGGTGCAAATTATTTAGCACCCGTCTTACTTTTACCCCTCAATTACGGGTTCCCTCATGGATTAGCGTAATACAGTCGCCTATAAATACCTACCCCCACGCACACTCTCTTCCCCAAGTACCTGTGTCCTCTGTTCTTCACCTTGTGCTTGCTCATACTTTTATGGTAATTTCTCAGCTCTTTCATGCTCAATTTCGATACCCAAATCGTAATTTTGCATTTCTTCAATTACCCACTTCGTAGTTTCTTCAATTTCTGAAATTTGAAAGTGTTTTGATGATGTCTTGCTAAGCAATTGTTTTGTTCGATGCCTAGATTGTTATTTTGCATTTCTTGAATTACCCAAGTCGCATTTTTTTTTTTTTTCAGTTTCTGTATTACAAAGTGTTTTGATCTTAAATGGGCATGTTTTGGCAGTGCTTTTGTTGGATACCCAGATTGCAAGTTTTGATTTTTTTGGGTTATTGATAGTGATTTTATTGTATAATTGAGATTGAATGGGGATTGAGAAGATAGTTGCTGATGAAAAGCTTAAGGAGTATTGCGAATTGCAGAAGGAGACGAATAGCAGGTCAAAGCGGAGCCGGCGACGGCAGAAGAAAATGTCTGCGGTGCAGAAGCTGTATGAAACCTGCAAGGAAGTGTTTGCCTCTGGAGGGACTGGGGTTGTTCCGCCTGAAAGTGATATCGAACGGCTAAAGTCAATTTTGGGTATGTTTTAGTTCTACATTTGTTACTGATTTATAATTTTGGATTCAAAAGTTGATGCTCGATTGAAATGGCTATCAGTGATTTTTTTTTTTTTTTCCTATTTGATGATTGGATTGCTTAATGTGATTGGATCTGGATTTGCAGGTTTTTGATTAATGTTGATTTAAATTGCATGATTTTGCAATGATGACAGCTATGATTTGAAAGACAAACTCATAGTTTGTTCATTGAGTTTTGTTAGAATTTGTTTTTTGTCGGTTTTGACTAATTTGGATTTTGGTTCTGGTTCACTTGGCTTCCATTTGATATACTGGTCTGAACTTGTGATTTGCTGTGTCCAATGATTTTGAAATCAAGATAGTAGAAGAGGTTTGAGTACTATTTGTTTTATTTCTAACTGTCATCGCACTCTAAAATCTTATGTGATGAATATATACGAACAATGCAGGATAATTTTAATCAAAAGCGTTCGTATTGCCTATTCTCTCACAAACTGGTCATAAAATGTGGATAGGCAAGGGGATGGCTTATAAAGTACTTCAAAAGGGAAGCCATAATGTGTTGGGGTTTATGTCCTATAAGGGAAGATGCAGTAGACCTAGTGCAAATGACAATGTCTTTTCTTTATCATGCCATTAGAACCGTAGGTTGTACCTTCCTTAGGAATAAACTATTTTGGGCTGGGCCAACTTGCTTCTGGAGAGGCATGGGCACACTTTGATTATGTGGTGTATTTGTTTGTTAGATATCGGGGACAAGCATTTTCATTTAAAGCTATTGAATTGCGCGCGCACACAGATTTATATGTATATGTACTACCCTATTAGGTCAATCACTCAACCTTTATGTAGATGTATCCTTACATGCTTTAATGCTTAAGCTCCTGCTCCGTGGCCGCCTAATGGATAGAATTGGATAAAACGTTTCTTGTTATTGCAGTATGTTCCATATATATATATATATGCTGAAGAGAGGCATGCAATTCACGTGTTTGTGTATTTATAATATAGTGGAAAAAATTGGAACTTTTTTACAGGACTTTTAATTAAATGATAAATTAAGATGTTTCAATGTAATTATGAGAAGTGCATGTTCATGTTCCTAATTTTAGCGAGGTTTACATATAAAACTCATCTTTGTGAATGCTTGCTTCGAGCTTCTAAGTTTTAAGATAATATCTTGCATGGAAATAATTCCATTTGGTTTATATGTCGTTTTTTAGATTAATTTTGTTTCTTTGGCACATTTGAAGTTAGGTTATTTTACTGCATGTGAAGTATCATCCTGCCCTTTTTTTTTTGGAAGAGTTGTATGGAGTTCATTTTCTTATTGTTAATATATTATGTGACCTAATGAAGAAAGCAACATGTATGCGAGCATGTGTTTGCATGCTCACCCTATCTCACACTGCTGCATTGTAATTCTTTTGCTTTGTATTGTGATGTGTGCTCAAGAGGCTGGCTTCTTATGTGTAGATACCATGACAGAGAAGGATGTTGGCCTGAGGCCAAATATGCCTTATTTCAGGAAGAAAACTGATGATCCAGTTAATAACATAACATACCTGCAGGTTCACGAATGTGACAAATTCTCGGTGGGTAAACCTTACGTGCTGTCATGGTTTTATGAGATATCAGTTGACTTTGGTTTGTCAGGTTTAACTCAATTTTGGTTGTTAGTATCTTGACGATTGCTTCTTGCAGATTGGGATCTTCTGCTTGCCACCATCAGGTGCCATTCCACTTCATAACCATCCTGGAATGACCGTGTTCAGCAAGCTTCTTTTTGGAACAGTGCATGTCAAGTCATATGATTGGGTAAAAGATGATGTCCCCGGCAATACAATTGCGGATTCCAACCATTTGGACAGTAAGTTTTTGTTGAACCTGCACTATCTCCCATTTATTGTTTAAACATGTTTATGTTTTTTTGTTTTTTGGTCTCAGATAACATGAATCATGACTAAAAAAAAAGGAATAATCAGTTACGAACTTTAAGGAATAATCATTTGGGAAGACACCTAATTCCGAGGGAGACAGTCCCTTTCTGTGTATATGAAAGAAAAAACAAAAGAAAAAAAAAAAAAAAAAAACTGTCTTTACAAGCCTGCAGACGGATAAGAGTTTCAAATTTGAATCTGGTGTTTCTGCTTGGTGTTGATAATTTATCAAGCCTAGAAGTTACTTCCAGTTTAGTCCAAGATAGTAGGGCTATAGTAAACCTTAGTGGCAATTTTACACCCTTACTTGTTGTATGTTGAGAATGCGTCAGTTTGTGTGTGTGTGTGTGTGTATATATATATATTATCATTGGCTAGAAACTCTTACACACCACTGTTAACACATCCATCCACTTTACTCTTTTGGAGACTCGAACCCTCACCATCCACTTTACTTCTTTGGAGACTCGAACCCTCACCATCCACTTTGGGAGGTAGAAGAGATATCACTGGCCCTTGGTCGTCAGTTAATATGTTTAAAGTAGCTTCAAAATGACTACAACGGATATGATAAGTTTGATGACTTTATCAAAACTGCTTCAAATATAATGGTTGGGTCAGGTATTTCTATTTTCATAAGTGGTTCGTTCTTGAAGAATAATTTCAAGTTTGCTTTAAATGTAATGATTCCATCAAATATTTTCATTTTCTGTAGAGATCTCATTCTTGGAGAACAATTTCAAGTTCTGATAATGTTTTGTTCACCAATGCAGTTAAGCATCCTAAATTACAGTTGGCAAAGGTTAAGGTCAACTCCGAGTTCACTGCTCCTTGCAACACATCGATCCTGTATCCAGCTGATGGGGGCAACATGCACTGCTTTACAGCAGTGACAGCATGCGCTGTGCTAGATGTGCTTGGGCCTCCATACTCTGATCCCAATGGCCGGCACTGTACATACTATCTTGACTTCCCATTTTCCAGTCATGCAGGTACAATGTCTGCTTTGCATCAAATTTTGGACTAATTTATTTTTATTACTTTTTATTATATATATATATATATATATACCATTTTTTGTCATGAATTTTGATGTATGAAGAACATTTGAAACCTCACAAAGAATTCTAATGTGAAGGGTTGATAGGGAGCAATTCTGGACATGCACAAGTGTTTGTTGCCACTGGACTTTGTGTTTTGTTTCCAAATTTGATTGTTAGTCACCTGCATGATTATATTCAATGTCCAAACAGGATTTACGAAAACTTGCATTCAAGTAGAGGGGCATGTCTGTTGCTCAAACCGGACTTTACATGTTTTACTGATTGGTTGTGTGTGTTGAAACAGGATTTACAAATACTTGCATTCAAGTAGAGGCATGTCTGTTACTCAAACTGAACTTTACATGTTTTACCGATTTGTTCCTTGTGTTGAGTTTCAGTTGATGGGGTAACAGTACCGGAAGAGGAGACGGAAGGCCATGCATGGCTTCAAGAGAGGGATTATCCGGAGGACTTTCGGATGGTCGGGAAAGTTTACAGTGGCCCAAGGATCGTGGAGAACTGATGTGGACCAGATATACTCGAAAGTTTCCCGCCTATGTTGTGAATGGTTGCTGCATTGTGCAGTAGAGTCTCTCTTGTTAGTTTGTTTTTTTTTTCTTTCATTGTGTTTGGGGAATTCTCTCCCTTTTTCTAAAAACAGTTCTATGTAAATACTCGAAATAGAACAGAAAAAGAAAAAAGAAGAGCGAATGAAGTGTCCAAGAAAGTAGTAGTTTCAAAAAGTTATTGTCTAATATAAGGAAGTGAGCCTTTTTACCTGTACTTGTTATCTTACATTTTTCTTTATTATTCTTGAATGACTATAGCTATTTTCGTTCTATGGATTTGAGTCATTTGACTAATCCACAATCCACATTGTGAAGTTATGAGCACTTTGAGAAATGGACAAACTAGCGCTCACATCACAACCCATCTTTATGTCAAATACCTGCAACTATTTGGAATGGTAAAAATTCCTCTCCAGCTCACACTTTGCGTCCACATAAGTTCTTTTTGGATTGACAAACCCTAGTAGATTTACTGTTATCATAATAGGAATTTATCTGTAAATTACAGATTGCGTATTAATCAACTATAGATGCCCCTTTTTATGAATTTATGCGTTTATAAAAGTGATCTACAAATGATGAAAATTCCTGTGTTTTTTGCCTATGGTTATCGTGATTGGCTGAAACCAATTTTGAGAGAATCCGATAATGTAAGTGTAAGTTTTAGCCCATTATATAGGGCATAACTGGGTATTGCTGTTACAACAAAAGGGCCGTTTAAGCCCAAGAAACAAGAATGAAATACTTACAAGACCAATCAGGCGGTTGTGGACGGAGGCAATCAAGAGGAACCTCCCACCGAATCAGAGCTCGTCGAGCTTCTGGTAGCTGAATTTGAACTTCAAGAGAGAAGCTTTCCTCTGATGGAGTATCTGATGTTGTTGAGCACTCCATTTTCTGCAGAGGCATATCACCATCATCATCATTCTTGCCTTAATCTCACATGAATGGGAAAGCATCATGAAATCTCTCTCCAAGCTTTTCTATTAAGTGCCAATCCACCTACTATATTTAACCTTTTGAAATCATTCATTGGACCAATGTAGTTTTGTTGTTAAATTAAACAGAAGACACAGAAAAACAGACCAGATACACATAAGAAAAAAACACAGATTTTTACATAATTCACTCACGTATAATGATTAGGGCACCATATACTTCGGGGTGGCGTTTATCATGCTCCACACTACCCATCAGGGTTTTGAAAATTCACAGGAGAAGGGCCAGATGGTTGTGTGATTCAAAATTTTTTTTTTTGGGTAAATTGTGTGATTCAATTGATAATAGGCAAAGAGGGAAAATATGGGGAATTCATGTGTTGGGTGTGTAATTTGATTTGTAATGCAACCCAAGAGGTGAATTTGATGTTTGGGAATAGAAATTTGGTTCCAAACAATGGTGATACCATGGTTTGTGAATAGGAGTAGAGGAAAGTGCTTCAATTGTATATTGTATGTTTCCATGGAATATTGGCCAGAGGGTGAGGGTGTCAAGCTGAATTTGTGTTGTCTGCCTGGCTCAAAAAATGGAGGAGTTGAAAGCTCAGGAATGGTGGACGAAAGGTTGGTTGAAAGGACCATGAGGTTCCATTTATGAATCTACTCACTCTTGCATTGCCTATCTGATGTTCGATGAATGTCCTCACAACGGTCCTCAATTGCAACAATTTCCTACAAAACCATGCACAATCTTGAGGAATGTATTTAGCTACTTCTATTCTTGATCAGGTATGCTCTCCCCCAACTGCACTATATGCTCCTTGAGTTGTTGGAGTTCACTGGCCCCATAGATGCCTTAGGACTGAATACCTGATTACAATCCACCTTCTGTTTTAGGCTTACAAACTGTGCTTCCATGCAATTTCGATATTTTTTGCTATTGCTTTTGAAGGTATTTTTAGTGTATCAGTGTTCTATTTTATTATCTAAATGCAAAAAGGTATGAAGACATATTTAATAAGATATTTTCTTTCTTTTCTTTTCCATCGGACTTATCTAAACGAAGGATAGTGAAAGCAAAATCTTCAATGGTAATATTGGTCTTCGATACACTACTCAGGTCCAAGAATGATTGCCAATCACGAATGTGAATGTAGAAGACCAAACCAGTTAGCAATATCGAATAGTAGAAATATAAAATTTCAATTTCTTAAATCGAAAACAAAATTCAATGGGATTGAGCTTCTGTGAAGACAGGAAGATGCATTTCAGAACCACGTTCTCCATTTTCATGTACATTTGAGTATGCGTTGTTGTCCTTTTCATAAATACTTAGTGCACAAGGGCGGCAGCAAAGGGCATCTAAATTTCACACACACACAAACATAAAACTATGTAAATTTACTCCATGACATGAACTAAAAACAACAATAAAAGACAATTCATCAATTATTAGCGTCAATGCCACCTTCCAATCATAACCATATATGTATCTCTCTCTCTCTCTCTCTCTCTGTATATATATATTCTCATAGAACATACTAACTAAATCTCAGTCTTTCTCTCTCCTAATGGCTTTGTGGATGCTCTTGGCACTGGCCACTTTATTCTTATTTTACATTTCAAGGTGTTGTGGTGAACTTGTAGCAGCACTTCCTGGGCAACCAGCCAATGTTTCATTTAAGCAGTACTCAGGATATATCGTGACAGATGCTAGCCATGGCCGAGCTCTGTTCTATTACTTTGTTGAAGCCCAATCATCTGATCCTTTTTCACGTCCCTTAACCTTGTGGCTCAATGGAGGTCTAAATCAATCAAATGACCTATACTTTCACATATAAACTAATCATATAATTTTATTTCTTGAATTTTTTTTGAACAAATTTAAAATTTAGGTCCGGGTTGTTCTTCACTTGGCTTCGGTGCATTCAAGGAAAATGGCCCTTTTCAAGTGGGAGAGAATGGACTGCTAGTAAAAAATGAATATTCTTGGAATTTAGGTAATTTTTTTTTTAAATAATGTTAGTTTAAATTTCCTGCACATTGAAATATAAATTTGGACATTGAGTTTGTGTTTTGGACAGAATCGAACATGTTATATGTTGAGTCACCTATTGGAGTTGGATTTTCATACTCTAATACAAGTGAAAACTACATCAACTGGAATGATACTCGGACAGGTATGCATTTCTTTTATTCATCTATATTTGTGTTTGTTTCATCCCATTAGTGTGTTTTTTAAATTCTGACTAGCTAAATTATGTTTGGCTAAGTTCAGCTGAGGATAATTTGGTGTTTATCATTAATTGGTTGGAGGAATTTCCAAAATTCAAAGACTCAGACTTCTTTATAACCGGTGAAAGCTATGCAGGTAATTAAAAAAAATTGATTAATTTTGTATTTTATATATGTATATATATATATTTGGTCTCAATTTGTCCATGGCTTAGATTGATTATTGATTTGGTTGCAGGCCACTACATACCACAGCTTGCAGCCTTGTTGCTTGATTACAACAAGAAGCCAAACGTGAAGCCCATCAAGCTCAAAGCATTAGCTGTAATCATCCATCTTTTCATATTTGAATGAGTGTTTGTTTCTCTTTACTTCCCTTATAACATAAATGATTAAATGCTAGTTGTTCTGTTTTAATTGTAGCTTGGAAATCCACTTTTAGACCTAGATATTAGCGTACAGGCCGGGGATTACTTGTGGTCACATGGTGCAATATCGGACGAGACATTGAGGTTAGAGAAGACAGTCTGTAATGACTCGAGGCACTTCAGAGAGTACTACCGTGATGGTCAATTGTCTTCGGGATGCAAAAATGTTTTCAATAGGGTCGACGAAGAAATTGGTGATGTTTCATATTATGACCAACTCTCAACTAACTGCTTATCGTCGAGCTCCACCCAACAATTTCAACCTAAGGGGTTGCATGGGAAGATGCATGATATGGTACGTATTGGAGCTTACTTTCTTCTCTTTATTTTTTCATTCATATTGGTGATTATATGTGGCTGTGTCAAATAAATTCTAATTTGAAAACTTTACGTGACATTGGAATAGATTGCTAGGAGGGGACTGGTAGGAGATCCATGCCTTCCGTACAGGATACTCACCTATCTAAACACGCCAATAGTTCAGAAATCACTTCATGCCAACACAACTCATCTTCCTTCTCAATGGGGGTTTTGTTTAGGGTCACTCTCTCTCTCTCTCTCTCTCTCACACACACACACACACACATGGATGATGAATTGATATAATATAACATGAATAATGTTGCAGGCCTCTTGTATATCAAAAAGACAACTTGGACATGAACCTCATACCCCTCATCACAGACCTTCTCAAGGAGGGCATTCCCATCCTATTTTATAAGTCTCTACACTTGCTTCTAATGCTTGACATTGTTTTTAATAATAATTACATAATAATTGACATCTTTATTGAAAATTTAAATTGGTTTTTATATTGTATAGTGGAGACCAAGATTCAAGAATCCCTCTCACTCAAACAAGGATAATTGCAAATAATATTGCCAAAGATTTGAAGTTGGTCACCTTCACAAAGTATGGCCCTTGGTATGACAAAAAACAGGTATGCAAATATCTCTCCATCACCAAATTATTGTAGCTGGAAAAATTTAAGCATTGATCATTAGTTCGACCAAAAAATCACATAAGCATCAGATATTCTCGAATCGTTGTAATGTTGCTCTTGTTATAATGGATGCATCCAATGGTTTGATTTCTGATTTTCAGAGTGCACCAATTGACATCCTACATGGGACCAAAACACACACACATATATATACATACATGGAGAAGAAACATATTTTAATTGGAAGGAAAATTATGTACGCAGGTAGGAGGATGGTATGAGTCATTTGGTGGGCTAAGAGATGGGAAGAATGTAACATATTTGACATTTGCGACGGTTAGAGGTGCTGCTCATGAGGTCCCCTTCACATCCCCTTCTCAAGCTCTCACATTGTTCATATCATTTCTGAAAGGATCCCCTCTTCCTAGGCCCAAAAATTGATTCATAACTCCGACCTGCTTCGGCACACTATTCAATTTGCTATTTATGCTGTCTACATGTTATCTGTTACAAATGTACTCCAAAAAACTTTTTAAAAGTAATTTGATTTGTAATGCAACCCAAGTGGTGAATTTGGTGTTTGAGAATAGAAATTTGGTTCCAAGCAATGTGATACCATGGTTTGGGAATATGAGTAGAGGAAAGTGCTTCGATTGTATATTGTATGTTTCCATGGAATATTGGCCAGAGGGTGAAGGTGTCAAGCTGAATTTGTGTTGTCTGGCTTAAAAAATGGAGGAGTTGAAACCTCAGGAATGGTGGACAAAAGTAGGACTGCAAATGAATGAGAGTTGTTCATAAACAACTCGGGCTTGGTTCGGGCTCGTTTGTTAAGCAAATAAGTTGTGCCTGAGCTCAATTTCTGAGCTCGTTTACTAAACGAGCCGAGCCCGAACAATGCTAAGCTCGGCTCGTGAAGCTCATGAACAAGCTCGTCTATTACATTTACATTGCTATATTTAAAAGGCTTAGTCCATGAATGTAAGTTAGCCCATTTCGCATATATTTCTTCGGCCCAATTCATATTTTAATTTTTAGAGGACCATCCTACTAACTCAGTAGCCCAAATCAACACTTAAATCTCTGACACTCGTTAGTTTCTGTTATCAACATAAAAGATTCCCCTACCACACACTCTAATCACTTCTGTTGTCAACCATGGAACTCGTTTCCTAGGAAATTGCTGAACTCTGTCTCCGAACAACAAGGTTAGTTCTCTCTACTCTCTCTCTCTCTACTATTATAATATTGCTGATTAGATCCATGGTCATGGTTGAAATCCAAAGCAAGCAAAAGAGATCATGAAGATGGGATATTAACGCAAGCGCAGAAGCATAACCATATATGTAACTTTCTCTCTCTCTCTCTCTCTCTATATATATATATATGTATATATATACATATATTCACATAGAACATACTAACTAAATCTCTGTCTTTCTCAGTTTCTCTCTCCTAATGGCTTTCTGGATGCTCTTGGCAGTGGTCACTTTATTCTTATTTTACATTTCAAGGTGTTGTGGTGAACTTGTAGCAGCACTTCCAGGGCAACCAGCCAATGTTTCATTTAAGCAGTACTCAGGATATATAGTGACAGATGCCAAACATGGCCGAGCTCTGTTCTATTACTTTGTTGAAGCCCAATCAGCTGACCATCTTTCACGTCCTTTAACATTGTGGCTCAATGGAGGTTTAAATCAATCAAATCATCTATGCTTTCACATATTAACTAACCATATAATTTTATTTCTTGAATTTTTTTTAACAAATTTAAATTTTAGGTCCTGGTTGTTCTTCACTTGGCTTCGGTGCATTCATGGAAAATGGCCCTTTTCAAGTGGGAGAGAATGGACTGCTAGTAAAAAATGAACATTCTTGGAATTTAGGTATATATATATATATATATATATATATATATATATATATATTAATAATGTTAGTTTAAATTTCCTGCACATTGAAATATAAATTTGGACATTGAGTTTATGTTTTGGACAGAATCGAACATGTTATATGTTGAGTCACCTATTGGAGTTGGATTTTCATACTCTAATACAAGTGAAAACTACATCAACTGGAATGATACTAGGACTGGTATGCATTTCTTTTATTGATCATCTATTAATCTATATTTGTGTGTTTGTTTCATCCCATTAGTGTGCTTTTTAAATTTTGACTAGCTAATTATGGTTGGCTAAGTTCAGCTGAGGATAATTTGGTATTTATCATTAATTGGTTGGAGGAATTTCCAAAATTCAAAGACTCAGACTTCTTTATAACCGGTGAAAGCTATGCAGGTAATTAACAAAATGGATTAATTTTGTATTATATATATATATATATATATATATATATATATATATATATATATATTTGTCCATGGCTTAGATTGATTATTGATTTGGTTGTAGGGCATTACATACCACAGCTTGCAGCCTTGTTGCTTGATTACAACAAGAAGCCAAACGTGAAGCCCATCAAGCTCAAAGCATTAGCTGTAATCATCCATCTTTTCATATTTGAATGAGTGTTTGTTTCTCTTTACTTCCCTTATAACATAAATGATTAAATGATAGTTGTTCTGTTTTAATTAATGTAGCTTGGAAATCCACTTTTAGACCTAGATATCAGCGTACTGGCCGGGGATTACTTGTGGTCACATGGTGCAATATCGGATGAGACATTGAGGTTAGAGAAGACAGTGTGTAATGACTCGAGGCAGTTAAGAGAGTACTGCCATGATGGTCAATTGTCTCCGGGATGCAAAAATGTTTTCAATAGGGTCGAGGAAGAAATTGGTGATGTTTCATTGCATGACCTACTCTCACTGAATTGCTTATCGTCGAGCTCCGCCCAACAATTTCAACCTAAGGGGTTGCATGGGAAGATACATGCAATGGTACGTATTGGAGCTTAATTTTTTGCTTTATTTTTTCATTCATATTGGTGATTATATGTGGTTGTTTCAAATAAATTCTAATTTGAAAACTTTATGTGACATTGGAATAGATTGCTAGTAGGGGAATGGTAGGAGATCCATGCCTTCCGGACAGGATACTCACCTATCTAAACACACCAATAGTTCAGAAATCACTTCATGCCAACACAACTCATCTTCCTTCTCAATGGGGATTTTGTTTTGGGTCTCTCTCTCTCTCTCTCTCTCTCTCTCTCACACACACACACACACACACACACACAAGCGCACACACACTCACACACATGAATGCTCAATTGATATAATATAACATGAATGTTGCAGGCCTCTTGTATATCAAAAAGACAACTTGGACATGAACCTCATACCCCTCATCACAGACCTTCTCAAGGAGGGCATTCCCATCCTACTTTTTAGGTCTCTACACTTACATCTAATGCTTGACATTGTTTTTAATAATAATTGACATCTTTATTGAAAATTTAAATTGGTTTTTATATTGTATAGCGGAGACCAAGATTCAAGAATCCCTCTCACTCAAACAAGGCTAATTGCAAATAATATTGCCATAGATTTGAAGCTGGTCACCTTCACAAAGTATGGCCCTTGGTATGACAAAAAACAGGTATGCAAATATCTCTCCATCACCAAATTATAGTAGCTGGATAAATTTAAGCATTAATCATTAGTTCAACCAAAACACACACACACACACACACGAAAACAAACATATATACATACATGGAGATTGAAGAAACATATTTTAATTGGAAGGAAAATTATGTACGCAGGTAGGAGGATGGTATGAGTCATTTGGCGGGCTAAGAGATGGGAAGAATGTAACCTATTTGACATTTGCGACTGTTAGAGGTGCTGCTCATGAGGTCCCCTTCACATCCCCTTCTCAAGCTCTCACATTGTTTAAATCATTTCTGAAAGGATCCCCTCTTCCTAGGCCCAAAAAGTGATTCATAACTCCGACCACACTATTCAATTTGCTATTTATGCTGTCTACATGTTATCTGTTACAAATGTACTCCAAAAAAACTTTTTAAAAGTAATTTGATTTGTAATGCAATCCAAGTGGTGAATTTAGAGGAAAGTGCTTCGATTGTATATTGTATGTTTCCATGGAATATTTGCAGGAGGGTGAAGGTGTCAAGCTGAATTTGTGTTGTCTGCCTGGCTATAAAAATGGAGTTGAAACCTCATGAATGGTGGACAAAAGTAAGAACGAGAGCTGTTCATAAACAACTCGGACTCGACTCGGGCTCGTTCGTTAAACAAACAAGTTGAACCCGAACTCAATTTCTGAGCTCGTTTACTAAACGAGCCGAGTTCGAGCAATGCTATGCTTGACTAGTAAAGCTCGTGAACAAGCTCGTCTATTACATTTACATTGCTATATTTAGAAGGCTTAGCCCATGAATGTAAGTTAGCCCATTTCGCATATATTTCTTTGGCCCAATTCATATTTTAATTTTTAGAGGCCCATCCTACTAACTCATTAGCCCAAATCAACACTTAATCTCTGACACTCGTTAGCTTCTTTTATCAACATAAAAGATTCCCCTACTACACACTCTAATCACTTCAGTTGTCAACCATAGAAATCGGCAACCATGGAACTCGTTTCCTAGGAAATCGCTGAACTCTGTCTCTGAACAACAAGGTTAGTTCTCTCTCTCTCTCTCTCTCTCTCTCTCTCTCTCTCTCTCTCTCTCTACTATTATAATATTGCTGATTAGATCCATGGTCATGGTTGAAATCCAAAGCAAGCAAAAGAGATCATGAAGATGGGATATTAACGTAAGCGCCGAAGCCAACATTGGAAGAAAATGGTGCAAATTTGTATCTACAAACGGCAAACAGTTAGATCGACGTGATTGATTGTATATATACAAACAGAACCGAGCGGAGCCGAGCCGAACGGAGCCGGAGCCCAAGCTTATCCAAAAGGTACCAAGCCGAGCCCGAGCACTCCGCTCACTTAGGCGAGCGGAGCCCAAGTAACTTAAAGCTCAACTCAGCTCGGTTCATTTGACCAAAGGTTGGTTGAAAGGACTTTAGGAATCTACTCACTGTTACATTGCCTATCTGATGTTTGATAAATGTCCTTGCAACAGGCCTCAATTGCAACAATTTCCTCCAAGACCATGCACAATCTTGAGGAATGCATTTAGCTACTTGTATTCTTGATCAGGTATGCTCTCCTCTCACCCAACTGCACTATATGCTCTTTTAGCTGTTGGAGATCACTGCCCATAGATGCCCTGCTTCTATGGTAATATTGGTCTTCGAAACACTATTCAGGTCCAAGAATGAATGATTGCCAATCACGAATGTAATGTGCATGTAGAAGACCAAACCAACTCTCAGTTAGCATTCTACCTCTCACCAATCATTATTGAATAGTAGAAATATAAAATTTCAGTTTCTCAAATTAGCCCATTAAATCCAAGAGAAAATTCAATAGGATTGGGCTTCAGTGAAGACAGGAAAATGCATTTAAGAACCATGTTCTCCATTTTCATGTGCATTTGAGTATGCCTTGTTGGCCTTTTCATATACTTAATGCACAAGGGCGGCAGCAAAGGGCATCTAAATTTCACACACACACACAAAACTATGTAAATTTGGACTCCATGACATGAACTAAAAACGACATTAAAAGACAATTCATCAATCATTAGCATCAATGCCACCTTCCAATCATAATTATATATGTAACTCTCTCTCTCTCTCTCTCTCTCTCTCTATATATATATATATATATTCACACAGAACATACTAACTAAATCTCTGTCTTTCTCAGTTTCTCTCTCCTAATGGCTTTCTGGATGCTCTTGGCAGTGGCCGCTTTATTCTTATTTTACATTTCAAGGGGTTGTGGTGAACTTGTAGCAGCACTTCCAGGGCAACCAGCCAATGTTTCATTTAAACAGTACTCAGGATATATAGTGACAGATGCCAAACATGGCCGAGCTCTGTTCTATTACTTTGTTGAAGCACAATCAGCTGACCATCTTTCACGTCCTTTAACATTGTGGCTCAATGGAGGTTTAAATCAATCAAATCATCTATGCTTTCACATATTAACTAACCATATAATTTTATTTCTTGAATTTTTTTGAACAAATTTAATTTTTAGGTCCCGGTTGTTCTTCACTTGGCTTCGGTGCATTCATGGAAAATGGCCCTTTTCAAGTGGGAGAGAATGGACTGCTAGTAAAAAATGAACATTCTTGGAATTTAGGTATATATATATATATATATATATATATATATTTAATAATGTTAGTTTAAATTTCCTGCACATTGAAATATAAATTTGGACATTGAGTTTATTTTTTGGACAGAATCAAACATGTTATATGTTGAGTCACCTATTGGAGTTGGATTTTCATACTCTAATACAAGTGAAGACTACATCAACTGGAATGATACTAGGACTGGTATGCATTTATTTTATTGATCATCTATTAATCTATATTTGTGTGTTTGTTTCATCCCATTAGTGTGCTTTTTAAATTTTGACTAGCTAATTATGTTTGGCTAAGTTCAGCTGAGGATAATTTGGTGTTTATGATTAATTGGTTGGAGGAATTTCCAAAATTCAAAGACTCAGACTTCTTTATAACCGGTGAAAGCTATGCAGGTAATTAAAAAAATGGATTAATTTTGTATTATATATATATATATATATATATACATATTTGGTCTTGATTTGTCCATGGCTTAGATTGATTATTGATTTGGTTGCAGGCCACTACATACCACAGCTTGCAGCCTTGTTGCTTGATTACAACAAGAAACCAAACGTCAAGCCCATCAAGCTCAAAGCATTAGCTGTAATCACCCATCTTTTCATTTTTGAATGAGTGTTTGATTCTCTTTACTTCCCTTATAACAATAAATGATTAAATGCTAGTTGTTTTGTTTTAATTGTAGCTTGGAAATCCACTTTTAGACCTAGATATTAGTATACAGGCCGGGGATTACTTGTGGTCACATGGTGCAATATCGGACGAGACATTGAGGTTAGAGAAGACAGTCTGTAATGACTCGAGGCACTTCAGAGAGTACTACCGTGATGGTCAATTGTCTCCAGGATGCAAAAATGTCTTCAATAGGGTCGAGGATGAAATTGGTGATGTTTCATTTTATGACCTACTCTCACCGAATTGCTTATCGTCGAGCTCCGCCCAACAATTTCAACCTAAGGGGTTGCATGGAAACATTCATGCAATGGTATGTATTGGAGCTTAATTTCTTTCTATTTTTTTTTCATTCATATTGATGATTATATGTGGTTGTGTCAAATTATTATAATTTTAAAACTTTGCGTGACATTGGAATAGATTGCTAGGAGGGGAATGGCAGGAGATCCATGCCTTCCGGACAGGATACTCACCTATCTAAATACACCAATAGTTCAGAAATCACTTCATGCCAACACAACTCATCTTCCTTCTCAATGGGGATTTTGTTTAGGGTCTCTCTCTCTCTCTCTCACACACACACACACAAACACACACACACACACACACACACACACACACACATGGATGATCAATTGATATAATATAACATGAATGTTGCAGGCCTCTTGTATATCAAAAAGACAACTTGGACAGGAACCTCACACCCCTCATCACAGACCTTCTCAAGGAGGGCATTCCCATCCTACTTTTTAGGTCTCTACACTTGCATCTAATGCTTGACATTGTTTTTAATAATGATTACATAATATTGACATCTTTATTGAAAATTTAAATTGGTTTTTATATTGTATAGTGGAGACCAAGATTCAAGAATCCCTCTCACTCAAACAAGGACAATTGCAAATAATATTGCCAAAGATTTGAAGTTGGTCACCTTAACAAAGTATGGCCCTTGGTATGACAAAAAACAGGTATGCAAATATCTCTCCATCACCAAATTATAGTAGCTGGATAAATATATTTATTGTTTGTTAGTCTACTACCATACAAATTTAAGCATTGATCATTAGTTCGACCAAAAAATCACATAAGCATCAGAAATTTTCAAATTGTTGTAATGTTGCTCTTGTTATAATGGATGCATCCAATGGTTTGATTTGATTTTCAGAGTGCACCAATTGACATCCCACATGGGACCAAAACACGCACACACACACAAACAAACATATATACACAGAGAAGATGGAATTTAAATGGCCGTTTTGAATATACATATTTTAATTGGAAGGAAAATTATGTATGCAGGTAGGAGGATGGTATGAGTCATTCGGCGGGCTAAGAGATGGGAAGAATGTAACATATTTGACATTTGCGACGGTTAGAGGTGCTGCTCATGAGGTTCCCTTCACATCCCCTTCTCAAGCTCTCACATTGTTCAAATCATTTCTGAAGGGATCCCCTCTTCCTAGGCCCCATAAGATAAAAGAAAGGATGAGGAGTATTTCTTCACCTCTCTAATACAACTTTCACTATTCTCTCAAAAGTGGAAGGATTTCTTTCCACGACTGATACCTTAAATCTTCTGAAAAAGATGAAATGGACCTCTGAAATAAGTATGGAGATCATGTTATGATTTGTATAAGCTTTGGTCAGTTCATGAAAATTGATGAATGTTGTTGTTCTTAATGGTGTTTTAAGAGACAACCTTGAAGATTTTTGTTCGATCAATTATGAAGAGGTTAAATATTTAATCAAAGGCTGACCTTAAATTAATTTTATGTCACGCTTAAACGTTCGCTTCTTCTTTGCCTCTTCCATGCATATTATCACTTTTACCATCTCCAAGGTTTGATAGGAGTTACTGTGATTAAAAATATAAAAATATAAGGATTGGGTATTTGGACACAATACCATAGTTTGCCTGTAATTTTCTGACCCACCAAAAGCATACTTGTGAAGGCTTCGTTTGAGAGAGAGAGAGAGAGAGAGATCATAATTTGGGCCTATGTGTTTGGGCTCAACCAAGGTTGGCCTCTTATTGTATCTGGGTCTTGCCTTTTTTTACTGGGCTTGCTCCCTTCCTTTTGAACTTTGTACAGTTCTCTATATTTATTAATATAATTGCTGGTATTTTCAAAAAAAAAGAAAAAGAAAAAAGAATAACAATTTTAAATACCAATAATATCCTTAAAATTATAAGGAAGAAAAATAATAAAAAAACTTCTTAGACCAAGGATATTTTTATTAATATACCATGTTACTTCATTTAAACCGTCTTGAGTGAAGAGATAGTTGTGTCATCAATATATAGAAACGAAAAATGATTCCCTGGGCTTACTTGTTTTAGGGCGATTTGTTTGGCTCATGAATTTTTGTGCTTTGATGTTAATAGATGAGATCCATACTTGAATTTATCCATTACATTACATCCAATGGATAAAAACTGTCTAGAATAAACAAATCGGTTGAGAAATAGACCTAAATATCATTACTCGAAATAACAAGAAATTTATTCATTACATCCAATAAATAAAAACTCTTTAGAACAAACAAATCAAGTCCAAGTATCAATACTCGAAATGACATGAGATTTTCCTTCTTAAACTATTAAGCTTTTTCCTTCTATTTTTATTTTATTTATTTATTTATTTTTTCCAACCTACCCAAATAAAGTATAGTGAAAGCAAATTCTACAATAGTTGTTATGTTACCAATTAAGTCTGCGCAGTAGAAGACCAAACAAACTCTTGAGATTGTCTCCAATCCAAAATTTCCAATCTTTGAAATATAAAATGGGGTTTTTGCAAATTCTGCCATTAAGTCCAAAACAAAATTCAATGGGATTGATTTTCCATGAAGACAAATAAACGCATTTTAAACCCATGTTCTCCAATTTCATATGCATTTGAGTTTTATATCTTGTTGGCCTTTACATACACACGGAACACATTGGCGGCATCAAATGGTATCTAAATTTCACACACACACACACACACACACACACAAACTATACGCCATGACACCTTGGTTGAACCAAAAAGACAAAAATAAAATACAATGCATATATCATTCGTTAGCATCAATGCCACATTCTTATCATAACCATATATGTATATATATATGTATAACCACACAGACCATACTAACTCACTCTCTCTCTTTCTTTGTTTCTCCCTCCTAATGGCTTTCTTGGTGCTCTTAGAAGTGGCCACTTTATTCTTATTTTACATTTCAAGGTGTTGTGGTGAACTTGTACCAGCACTTCCAGGCCAACCAGCCAATGTTTCGTTTGAGCAGCACTCAGGATATATAGTGACAGATGCCAAACATGGCCGAGCTCTGTTCTATTACTTTGTTGAAGCCCAATCATCTGATCCTCTTTCACGTCCATTAACCTTGTGGCTCAATGGAGGTCTAAATCAATCAAATGATTTATGTTTGACATTAATTGATTTTATAATTTAGGAAAATTCAATACTTGCAGACATCCAACTAGTCAGGTGTCTCACAGATGTGGGCTCCACAACTCTGTGGGACGTTCGACTCCAGAATCGTATCATTACTACATAATTTAATCATATCATTATGATTTTTCAATATCATTTCTCTTTTTGATATTTTTTCTAACAATTTAAAATTCAGGTCCGGGTTGTTCTTCACTTGGCTTTGGTGCATTCATGGAAAATGGACCTTTTCAAGTGGGAGAGAATGGACTGCTAGTTAAAAATGATTACTCTTGGAATTTAGGTGAATTATTATTTTTTAATTATGTTATTTTAAATTTTCTCCGAATCCAAGCATAAATTTGGACAATGAGTATTTTGTTTTTGGACAGAATCGAACATGTTATATGTTGAGTCACCTATTGGAGTTGGATTTTCATACTCAAACACAAGCGAAGACTACATCGAATGGAATGATACTAGGACTGGTATATATTTCTTTAATTCATCATCTATCTATGAATCTATATGCTTGTGTTTGTTTTGTTTCTTTAGTGTTTTTATCAAATTTTGACTTGTTAATTATGTTTGGCTAATTTCAGCTGAGGATAATCTGGTTTTTCTCATTAATTGGTTGGAGGAATTTCCAAAATATAAAGACTCAGACTTCTTTATAACCGGTGAAAGCTATGCAGGTAATTAATAAAATGAATTAATTTAGTATATATATATATGTATATACATATTGGTCTCAATGTGGCCACGGCTTAGATTAATTATTTGATTTGGTTGCAGGGCACTACATACCACAGCTTGCAGCCTTGTTGCTCGATTACAACAAGAAGCCAAACGTTAAGCCCATCAAGCTCAAAGCATTAGCTGTAATTATCCATCTTTGCATACTTGAATTAGTGTTTGTTTAATTTTCTTTATTTCCCTTATAGCATGAATAATTAAATGCAAAATTTTTCTGTTCTAATTGTAGCTTGGAAATCCACTTTTAGACCTAGATATTAGTGTACTCGCGGGCGATTTCTTGTGGGCACATGGTGTAATATCAGATGAGACATTGAGGTTAGAGAGGACGGTCTGCAATGAATCGAAATACTTGAGAGAGTACGTCCATGATCAATGGTCTCAAGGATGCAACGATGTTTTCAATAGGGTCCAGGCAGAATTTGGTGATGTTCCCACTGATGACCTACTCCTACCAAATTGCTTATCGTCCAGCTCTGCTCAACAATTTAAACCTAGAGGGTTGCATGGGAAGATGAATGCAATGGTACCAATTGGAGTTTAATTTCTTTTTGTTTAATTTTTTCATTCATATTGGTGATTGTATACGGAGTAATTTATATGTGGCTGTGTCAAATAATTTCTAATTTGAAAATTTTATGTGACATTGAATAGAATGCTAGGACTAGGAGGGGAATAGTAGGAGATCCATGCCTGCAGTCCAGGATATTCACCTATCTAAACAAACCAATGGTTCAGAAATCACTTCATGCCAACACTACTCATCTCCCTTTTCATTGGGACTTCTGTTTAGGGTATCTCTCTCTCTCTCTCTCTCTATATATATATATATATATATGTTGTGTATATATATATGGATGATTAGTTGATATAATATTTACATGAATGTTGCAGGCCTCTTGTATATCAAGAAGACAACTTGGACATGAACCTCATACCCCTCATCTCAGATCTTCTCAAAGAGGGCATTCCCATCCTACTTTATAAGTCTCTACCCTTATTTCTAATGCTTCATATTGTTTTGTATAGTTAAATAAATTTGGTATGTTTGACATTTAATGAAAATTTAAATTGGTTTTATATTTGTATAGTGGAGACCAAGATTCAAAAATCCCACTCACTCAAACAAGGATAATTGCAAATAATATTGCCAAAGATCTCAAGTTGGTCACCTTCACAGAGTATGGCCCTTGGTATGACAAAAAGCAGGTATGCAAATATCTATCCTTGACCAAATTATAGTAGCTAGATAGCATACTATTAATTTCAACATTGATCATTCGACCAAAAAATCACATAAGCATCAGAAATTGGATGCATCCGGTGTTTTTCTGTGTGATATGGATCGAAAGTGTATTTAATTAGTCAGTGATACTGTTAGCAATGGATGCACACATATCTAAAAACAAACACATATATATATATATATATATATATATATATGACAAAGTGAGAAAACGACCCTTGATGTTTTAATTTTGGGTAAATAACACCCCTATTGTTTATTTTGGGTATATAACCCCTTTAAGTTTGAAAAAATGATCGAAGGGCTTTTGTCGTGTATACCGTCAAGTTCGAAAAATGAGCAAAAAAGGACTTAAAGTCATTATTAAGATATAAAATTCTGAAAACACTCTCATCTCTTCCGATAATGCCCTTATAAGGGCAAAGTGAGAAAAACACTCCTAATGTTTACATTTTGGACAAATAGTACCCCTATCCTTTATTTTTAATATATAAGTTTATTAAGTTTGAAAAAATGTGGCCAAGAAGGGCTTGAGGTCATTTTTTCGTTAAAAAATGCACATGACATTTTTAAGATATAAAATTTCAAAAATATCATTGTCTAGTACGATAGTGCCTTTATATATACACTTGTCACATTTAATTAGTTTTTTTTTTTTTTTTTTCAGTTATAGAGGGATATTTCAATTTTTTTAGCATTCAGATCCTTATTTATACCAAAATTGAATGTTAAGGAGGTTTTAGAACGTATAGGGGTTATATACTCTGAGACTGGTTTTCGCCCGCAATCCTATATTATATATATATATATAAGAGGGACATTTTTGTTATTTCACATTTAATTAATTTTTTTATTTATTCTTTTATTCAGTTATAGATGGACACTTTAGTTTTTTCAGCATTCAGATCATTGTTTGTTCCAAAATTGAATGTTGACTTTTTAGAATGTATCCCGCCGCGGCGGGGGTGGGGGGGTTGTTATACACTTTTTTTTTTTTTAATTCAATTATAGATGAACACTTAGGTTTTTTCAGCATTCAGGTCATTGTTTGTTCCAAAATTGAATGTTATGGACTTTTTAGAACGTATTAGGAGGGGGTTATACACTCTATATGCATATTATAGGAATATTTTTCCTCGCAACCCTATATATGTATATACACACACTGAGAAGATGGAATTTAGAGGAACATTTTTGGATTTTTATAAGAAACATGTATTAATTGGAAGGAAAACGATGTATGCAGGTAGGAGGATGGTCTCAGTCATTTGGTGGACTAAAAGAAGGGAAGAATGTAACATATTTGACATTCGCAACGGTTAGGGGTG